TAACCTGTACGATGCTCGGGCATCGCTGATGCGTTGCTGTTTGGCGTCGATTTGGCGTAGTTATGGCGTCAAGGTTGCCTACATTAGGCGTAGAGTGCCGTCGAGGTTGCCTACATTAGGCGTAGAGTGCCGTCGAGGTTGCCTACATTAGGCGTAGAGTGCCGTCGAGGTTGCCTACATTAGGCGTAGAGTGCCGTCGAGGTTGCCTACATTAGGCGTAGAGTGCCGTCGAGGTTGCCTACATTAGGCGTAGAGTGCCGTCGAGGTTGCCTACATTAGGCGTAGAGTGCCGTCGAGGTTGCCTACATTAGGCGTAGATTTGCCGTCGAAGTTGCCTACATTAGGCGTAGATTTGCCGTCGAAGTTGCCGACATTAGGCGTAGATTTGCCGTCGAGGTTTGCCTACATTAGGCGTAGAGTGCCGTCGAGGTTGCCTACATTAGGCGTAGATTTGCCGTCGAGGTTGCCCTACACTATAGGCGTGGTTTGCCGTCGTTATGGCTATTACTCATCAACCTGAAATAAGATTACAGAAATAAGCAAACTATATTTTTTATTGAGAAACACGCGTAAAATCGGGATTGTAAAAACAACAACATCTATAAAACCCCTCTGGGATTTCAAATATTTCCTTTCTTGCCATTAATATTCATATTCAATTATCATGCATGCGGCCGTTGTCGTTTTTGACCTGAATCATGCATAAACTCCCTATTGTTCGGTTTATCTAAAAATGTTCAATTGCTTAATACTCACGTTTTATTATGAACAGGTCTTGTCGTTGTTTCAAATGCATGGCTTGACCCGCTAAATCGCTACCTGAAATTAAACCAAAGGAATGCTTGTTATAGACAGCGATTTCAAGGATTTACCCTCGATGAAAGGAGCTTAAATATCGGGAGAAAACATGCGGTGATTATTCAGTTGAGAGAGCGCATGATGCCTGATCAAGCGTTTCAAGTTTTCCCATCTTATTTTGAATAAAATAGACCCAAAATTACCTGTTCATTTCAGCAACAAGTGTTTAAGAGCAGCTTTGGACTTGCTGTCTCTTTAAATGCGAGTCATCTGGAGCAATCTCAGCTATGGATTTCTTGCGCAGCTCATTTCTATATTCGGTTTAGCTTTAGCATTTAAACTCCACCTGAAAGAACAAAAGGCAATGTTTGTTTACTGGTTTGGTCTTTAGAACTCAATTCAAAGGTAATTGCTTGCGATTGGGGCAAAGGTTAGCGGCTCACACAAGATTTAGCGTATATTACCTTTCTCATATCATCAACAAGTCCCAAGAAAATGCGTAGACGTGCTTTCTCTTCAAAAGGCGAGTTATCTTGAGTCAAATGCGAGTCGTCTCGGGCAATTTCAGTTGCGGTAACGGACTTCTTGCCCACTTCACTTCATTCAATTTGATTTTAAGCTCTCAAACTCCACCTGGAAGAATGAAAGGCACCATTAGTTCACTGCTTAGGTCTTTAGAGCTCAATTCAAACGTAATTTGCGTGTGGTTAGAGCGAAGGTTAGCGGCTCAACGGTAAGATTTAGCGTATATTACCTTTCTCATATCATCAATAAGTCCCCAGAAAAAGCCTAGACTTGCTTTCTCTTCAAAGGCGAGTTTTCTTGAACCGGTTCATCGGTCGTCAATCTCTTGTTCACAAATTTTATCGTTTAACTTCGCTTTATTTCGTCAAAATTCTGCATGAAAAGAATAAAAGCAACGTTAGTGCTATACAAGTTTGCATTTAAAGCTGGACACGACAAGAACACTACGAGAGAGGCATTACAAGACGTGAACTAAAGACACGTGAAATCTCAGACCAAAAGCTCACGGTGAAACAAGCTGATAAAACACGCAAGGGAAAGGCATATTACCTGGTATAACACCAACGACAGTCTGTCAGAGATAGTAAACTTCTATTAAACTTCTCTTCTGCTGAAGACGATAGCAATCTGATAGAAATTTCTGTTGAAATTTTCTTGGCATGGAGTAGACTCATCTTTACTCTTCGAAGACCAGCGTTGAAGTGATGTCTCGAACTGGAATCAAAAGCACATATTCATTTTACCCGCTCCTCGTGTTTGCGAAATAAAGTCACCCTATTGGATGAACACTCCCGGCCTGACAGCTCAACAACGCTTCTGATTGGACGTTCATGGTAATTTAAATAATATGCCGATTAATTCTCTTCTCCTGAGCCTGGACATCAGAAATGAAAGGAAAAATTAATCATCTTATTCAAATTACTACGCTCGTCCAATCAGAAGCAATGTTGAGCTGTCAGGCCGGGAGTTTTCATCCAATAGGATGACTTTATTTTGCAGCACGAGGAGCGGGTAAAATAAATATATAGCTTTGATTCAACGTTGCCACATTACTTGGGCGCTGATTTTCAAAAACAAAACCTTCTGAAATTACCGAATGCTTTGATATACGAAGCATATTGATGGAGATTTTGCAATAAAATATCAACCTGTAATGCAATATATCTGATAAGATTATACTCACTGCATTTACTACAATCTAAAACAGGTTGATTACCTGTCCTAAGTGAAATGCACACAAACTCATATGTTCCTTGACTAACAATTTTGACAAAAATTTCTCGTGTTCAAATTATCACCTAATATCACGCAAATTTGGATCGAGTAAAGTTCTTACGTCAACGCAGGTAATTTATGCGGAACACCTGACATAAATATGCTAACATATATAATATTTATGTATGCATGACGTACCTAAAGCTGCATAAATTACCTGCGCGTGTCGTTATTGTGCTTTGCGGTTATCACACTTGCGTTGTCGTTGTCGCTGCGAAGGCACAGTCACCTCGCAGATTTACCTTTATTTCGTTAAGTTGAAATTTCTGCAGGCACGAGAAATAAGAAAACCTGTAGTTGTCAGAAAGACAACAACTCATTATAAATACCTCCCAAAGATCTAATAAATATTCATCAACGGCAGGTGTTCAAGGTAAACCCCAAATATAATTACGGGCAGTGATTGGTCAAACGGCGCGCAGCGAACGGTTGTGATTGGCTAACGGCGAATGCGCTAATTTTATACCAGGGAAGCAACACTTCCGACAAAAACAACAACATTCGAAAGGACGCTTTGACATGCAACGGTTGCAATGCAAAGACAGGAAGGCTTAGGTATAAAAGTAAATTAAAGACATCCCACGCGAAAAGGCACGACCTTGCAGCCCAAATGTCCAGCGCGAAAGGCGATGGGAATGGCGAGGCCGACGATGGATGGGCATTTGTGGACAGGCAAGGTGCAGTCATTGTAAGTGAAACTTATCGAAATTTTTTCATTAATATTTTTATTACCCGATGAATATCAGGCAACACTTACTGCACTGCAAACAATCATAACGGGGTATATAGCCACTGTTTATCTAAAAATATTACAAAAACAGCAAAGACAGACACAACGAAATGCTGGTTGAGTCTCCACGAAAATATCGACTCTACAAACGCTGGGGTAAACGGATTCACTAATTTCACTTGCATATAACAGGATTAAATCAATTCTATATCTGGCTTGAATGGCATTTAATTAAGAGCTATTTTCCAACGTAGAGTATTTAAAAAAGGTTCATTCAAATGCTCGTATTAAATTTCCGCAGTGCTGCGAAGTAGTTAGTTTGGAGTTGCTAATATTCTTGATATATGTAAACATACCACCTGTTGAAACCATGGCAACCATTCGCGTTTTTAATCGCTTAAAGCCTCACTTCATGTGTGTTTTTGTGGGTTTCTCTATAAATGCATGGTCGTTAGTCTATACCTATATACACCGGAACCACGCGCATGCGTGAATTGTGGATATACTCCATGCACGAGCCCATGAAACATGTAAATGAAGTCTAGTTTACGGACAAACAATTACAAGCGATTTATCACAGAAAGCATCTCTGGTATATTTAAATTTTAGTGTTTACAGTCTCACAGGCGTGGTTCATAACCTTTGCTCAACTAAATATAAGCAAATAAATATCAATGTTATTTTCTGTGGAAAATGCTTGCTGTTGGAGTATTGCTACCATGAGCTGAACTTTGTCAATTTCAAATTATCAAACGTGGTCATTAGTCAAAAACGTCTGATGGATTGTTCTCGGCTACAAACGTTTGAACGTTCAACTTCAAGATATGGGTTGTTAAGAAACAACAAAAACGAATGAATCACCTTAAATATTCCTGGGTTTACGCTGGAAAAACTTATTATTGAAATCTATTATTACTAAGATCTAGTCCATCGCTGAAATAATTCATTAACAAATGTAATTCTTCTTCCCCTTATGAATCAATTTCGAAAAGTTTAACTTGGCTCCAGCAGTCTTTGAAGACGCGGTATTCAACAGAGCTGGCAACTCACCAACTTTGCTCATTTATTTGCAGTCAAAGGAGAAAATAAAGTCCCCGAAAAGCAAGGTCAATGGGAAGCGCAAGAGAAGACGTCAACGAAAGAAAGAAGTTGAACCTGATTTCGAAGTGATCAAAGAAGGTGGACTGACAGTGTCGACGATCGTTGCAACCGCACAGGTCGCTCCTTTTCAGAAAGAGTTACCTGACGGCGAAGACGACTGGGGCATAGTCAAGGCTTCGGACCCGGAACCATGTCCTCCAACTTTATTAACGGAAGACGTGGGCAGTCGCGTGGAAGCGGGAAGTTTCGATAAAGATGATGTCGATTTCATTCGGATCCCCGATGCTGACGTGCCAAAGACCGATTCCCTCTCGGACACCTCTTCAACTTGTAGCTTTGATGTCATCGATGAGAATAAGAGGAAGCTGCTGTTGGAAAACGAAACACGGATAGCTGAAGATAATAATGCTGATGATGGAAGTGATAATGATGATGATAATGATGATAATGATGATGATGATGATGATGATAATGATGATGATAATGATAATGATAATGATAATGATAATGATAATGATAATGATAATGATAATGATGATGATATGATGATGATGATGATGATGATGATGATGATGATGATGATGATGATGATGATGATGATGATGATGATGATGATGATGATGATGATGATGATGATGAAGATAATCAAGATAGCGATGATAGCAATATCATCGGTGCAGAGTTCCATTTCGACTTTCCCACAATGGTTGCGTTATTCTGTTTAACAACGGTTCTTGGTTTTGTAATTGGACATGGTACGTTGACTTTAGTCTTCCTGATGCATGACACACGAATTTTGAACAAGAAAAATTAATCAGTACCTTGGAAAAAGCATCTTAAAGTTTGCCAACTTCAAAATTTGCTTAAGTCGGGATACTTTTTCCAAGTGTATTAAATAATGCCAAAAAATATTGAAATACGCAGAGTATTCACGAATTTTCGAAAATTTTTTAGAATATTCCTATATTGCAAAAAACCTTTGGTATTGATAATGATTTTATCATCTTTCCATCAAAATACATGAAATTATCCGTCTGCATATTCAAATTACTTTCACATATTTCTGATCGCCCATTGTCATAAAAAATTGATATAATTCATAACCGCACCCTTTCTAGGTGTTGGAATAGCAACTAGTCTTCTGGTGGTAAAAAATCCGGGTCTCAAAGTTCCCGGTGAAATGAGTCCAAACTCACCGACCACGGCTCCATCGGATGAGGAGAATGACCAAAACGAAAGCTCCGAACTCGAAGGAAAAATTCAGAAGTGGAAATCTCTGTACCGCAACGAGAAACCTCAGGATGGAATAGACGGTGTGAAACTTTCCGGAAATTTACCGGGCTTAAAGGAAGCACACAAGCATTTGTCTTTGGAAAACTACAAGCTGAAGAAGGCATACAACGATATTCAGAAACAACTCGATCTAATGAAGGTTATGTCGTGGTATCGCAGAGCGCAGGTCGATAAACTAAGGAAGGATGACAAAATGAACATGAGCTACGTGGTAGGGATGTTAAAGAAAGAGTTGCAGTACTTGGAGGCCGTGTATTTCAGAGAGAAACGTCTTGCAGATTTGTGGAGAAACGAGAACGTGGAAAAGAAAGCGGAAATCGTACCGAATACTTGGAAATATTTCAAAGATCGCTGGAGTAACAGACACAGAGAGGGAGACGAGGGCTCTAAAGAAGATGTCTGCATGGATAGACAGGATTGTGGCAGTAAAACCAGTACAGCTGAGGATACGGCGGGTGTTTCTCACAGCGAGGAAACAGTAGAGAGTATAGAGAAATCAGATGTTCCAAGTAAAGAAAGTGACGAAAACGTCGGTCAAACTAGTTTAAAACGCACAGAAATTGAAGAAAGCATTCGAAGTGAAGAATCAAGCGATGATGTAGAATCACAGGAACCGAAAGCGAAGGGAGATTTTGCGAGTGCTGACGACACTTCGTCCTCAAATGCGGAAGATATGCAACGCTCTGAACCGGCAGTCCACGCTGGAAATCAAAATCTTGAAGAAAATCTATTTTGGCGACATCTGCGTTTGGCGAAGACAGTCCAAGAAGAGGATATCCAGAATGACAAAACAGAAGAAGATGACCCGATCGGAGTGTCCTCCGAGATGATAGCGAGTGGCGACGATACATTGCGAATGGACGACGAAATACCAAATAAAGGATCTGAAAAAACAACAAGCCCTTCGGGGGTTTTGGCAGAGCGAGAATCGGACTGGTCGTCTCTGGAAGTCCTGGAACAGAATGGGGAATTGATAATTGCGCACGAAAACAAGGACAGCATAGAACATGTTCTCTACGGCTTCTTTTACGACGGGTTCCGAGAGATTGAATTAAGTCCAGGAGGTATATTTGTTATGTCATTAAAAACAGAATGTCTCAAGGTAAACAGCGGCTTCGAGGTGTCAGTGATAAACAATTCGCCAAAACCGGTAAATTTCTTTGCATTATTACCCAACGGGAAGATCACACGTCGCACGATAGATGGACAACTTAGGGTGACTTTTGTCGAACTTGGTGGGGAAGGTGGTGAAAGCGATGCAAAACCATTGACCTACGAAGCAGTTGTGTTAGAGAATGGTAAACTGGAAGTGCGGGAACAGAATAAAGGCAAATCTGGGGAAGGAAATACTGATGAATTGGATAAAGGCTCAAAAATTGAGGAAAACTCTGGTGATTGTAAATCAGATGAACTGAAGAATAAAAATGGTGAATTTGAGGATGAACGTTTAAGTAATGAAAATCAATCAAGTGAGGAAAATCTGCACGAAGGCGAATATGATGTTGGGGAATTTGAAGATAAATATCAGGGTGAAGTAAATGATGATAAATCTGGCGAATACAAAACAGAGAATATACATGCAAATGAGGAAGAGACACAGAAGGAAGACGTAAAGGTACTTCAACCACAGCAAGAGGTCCCTCTATGGACTCTTGTTCCAGGTGAAAGTCACGTGTTCGATCAACACACTAGAAAAATTTACCGGCACACAGTATCAGCACATCAATACCCGATCAGCAATTATGAAACACTTCTCACTCAATTTCGTAGAAACGAGGAACAGATCTATTACAGATTTCCACGAGATACGATCGTTGAGAAGTTCGTCGTCAAAGTCCAGGTGGTCAAAACGAAAGAAGATGGATCCATAAGTACAGTCGAGGATGACGAGGGATCAGTTGGGGACATTGCTAAAGGCAATGAACCATTACCGTACGACGAAGATGTCTCGGATATCGTTGAACAGCTTTTGAAAAACCCGTGGAAGGAAGGGCATAGATCACCCATTTTGTTGACCTACGATGAAAAAACTGCGGCTGTCACGTCAGTTTACGTCAGTCTTTCGAAAGTTCATCCCGATGACGTCATCTCCCATGAAGTATTGAAGAATGGAAAGTTGGAAACATTCGGGGAGAACAGAAAATTCACATCGTACCGTCTCCATGGAAACGAACTCTTGCGAATAGTACGAGAGGATGAAGTTAATCACGCATCCATCGGGACTGCAGAAACACCAGAACAAACGAACAGCGAGGAACAACGAAATCTTGAGAATGCAGAGGAGGATTCCGCGGATTCCCAGAAGGAAGATGGAAATTCCGGTAACTTTCACAAGGAGGATAAGAGTTCCGAGAATGGGATGTCCAGTCAAGCTAACAACGTAGATGTACAAGAATTGAGCTCAAATTATTTCATCCAGAATGATAGTATAGAGGCCACACCTTTGGAGGACAAAGAAGAAGAAGAGAGTCAGAAATGCGTTCTAAAGTTAAACGAAAGAAAAGTCAACGAATATTGGGGCTTCACTCTTCCACGTGGAGTGACGTATATTCGCGAAACTGTTGAACGCGTGATGCCAACGCCGAAATACAAGGCAGACGATTTAGCCAAACTGAATGTGTCCACAGACGACATCGAGGAATCTGTGTCGTATCTTTATTGCGAGGATGGCAGCGTTCAGAAGACGTGGTCAAGGAGTGAAAGGGCTTCACGGAGTGGCGCACGTGAGGATTCTGAGAATGTCGAAAGTCGTGAAGACTCCGAAAATGTGAAAAGTGAAAATGGTGGCAGACAGGAATTACACGAGAACTGGACTGACGATGATGAGTACGATTACCACGATGACGAACATGATGATATCAGCGATGACTATGATTATCATGAACATCATGATGATATCAATAATGTTAACAGTGATGATATTGATCATGATGGCAAAGATGATGATTATCATGGTGATGAAGATGATGATGACGACGATGATGATGACGACGATGATGATGACGATGAAGATGGTGATGAAGATGGTGATGAAGATGGTGATGAAGATGGTGATGAAGATGGTGATGAAGATAATGACGAAGATGAAGATGAAGGTGGTGATGGTGATGAAGATGATTATGAAGATGATGATGAAGATGATGACCGCGACACTTATAGTGATAATCCCAACGATTATCGTGACAACTATGATCCGGATAAGGTAACCAATAATCACAATGAAAATGAGTATGAAGCGAATGACCATGATCATGATAGTCCCAATAATCAGGACAGTGATGGTAACGGTGACCGCGATCATGTTAGTGACAAATTAAATCCTGAACTTGAGCAACACATCAAAGAAAAGACCAACGAAGAATCAAAGTTATCCAAAACCAATGAAAACTCAAATGATTCAGAAGGCAAATTGGAAAACGAGAAATTGAATTACGGCATGTTCATATCACGAGAATGGCAAAATTTGAAGCTGCAACAACAACAATTTGAATACAGGAAAAAACAGCACCAGCTGATGCAAAAACAGATGATGGAGGAATGGAGTAGAATGAAGGAGCAGTACAGAGAATTTAAAAAACATTTCAAGCAAAGCCAAAGATCTGAAAGCGAAATGGAAATCGGTGGATTATGGAATGACATGAAGCATCAGCAGACACAGTTCGATGATTTGAAGAAACACTTTGAGGAGGAATTGAGAAAAAGTTTGCAAGAGGAATTTGAGAAATTGAAGAAAACACAAGCAGAGATTGAGATAAGAGAACGGGAATCAAAGGAAGATAACGGACTTCAGCCAGAAACAGTTGATAAAGGAGAGGATATTTATGAACAATCGGGAACAAATTGGGAATCGGAACGTTATGAAAAGGATACCTTGATCTCGGAAAAAGAAACCGCTCAAGACGATCTTCGCCCTGAGGGGGAAGATGAAGTAAAAACCGCAGCGTTGCAAAGTCCGGTTACTCAAGTTTATCTTGGCCAAGAAGTCGATGAAGGTTTTGTTGAAAGAATTGAAAGTGATGCCTGGGAGATGCGTGATTCATATGCATATCTTCAGAATATGGAAGAGAATCTTCCACACGAATTGCCATACATCCCTAATACAGAAGAAATTAATGTTGATAAAAAATTGAGCGAAGATTGGGAATTGGGGTCGATGACCTCAAACAATGATGAAGGAAAACATATTCATGAAGAGAATCCTCCAGAAGAACTACCCAGCCCTACGAGTCATCTTGATACACCTGGAGTAGATGATGGTGTTTTTAAGATCCACGAAATGCAGGAAAAGTTTAACGAAGAGAACGGTCTTGATTTTCAACTGATGACCGGAAATGATGGTGAGGCTGAAGATGGAAACCATGATAGCCGTGACGGAGCTGGAGATGCTGGCAGTGTTTTCAATACTGTTGCAAGACAAAATATGGATGATGGCATCCCCGAGGACTTGCTTGACCCTGTAAACAGTGACAAGACATTGCCAAAGGAAGTCGATGAGCCTGTTCTGGAAGCAAGAGAGAGTGAGCAACCAAATTTTGACTCGAAAGACGTCTCATCTCCCTCGGAATGGGAGCTGCAAATTCAAAAACTTCGTGAAGAGTTGGATAGGTTATACAAAGCAAAAACATCCAGAAGAAACGAGCTGCAGTTAGTGAAATCAGAGATCGCAACAACCCAGGAGTTATACACAACACCACAACCGAAATGCTCACCAAAATGTCCCCAAACCTCAAACCTTTCAGAATGTCCACCCAAATGCCCTGTAGCCACGGACGATTCGACACAGAATCACAGCCCAGGTTACAGCAATGTTTTCCCGCCGAACCGTCAACCTTTGAAAAAACTAAAACTACGACCGTCTCCGAAGAGACCCGAGGAAGAAACGAAGGAATCGTACGCGAAGAGGAATGTTAATGTTAAACCACCGTCAGAGATGAAGACCAATGACCAGAATGAAAATAATGGTAAAAACCAAGCTTTTAGGGATTTCATCGAGGGTCATTCGTATCTCCAGCAACTCAAGCCTGTAGAATATGATGAGAAATTGCGTGGAGAGAGCCACAGCCTTTTGGCACCAGACGACAAAGTGGATGAGGGAAAAAGGTATAAAAGAAAATACAAAATGAAAAAAAAAGACAACGGAAAACTCACTGAAAAGTCGAAGAAGAAAAGAAAACAGGAGAGATATCTGAAGAAGAAAGTGTCAAATGATGGATTGGGTGGATCGGGTAAACACCAAAAGAATAAACGAAAAGTAAAAAACGCGTTCCCACTCAGTCCAAAATCAAAAAAGACCTCAGAAAAGAAACGGAAATCGAAGAGTAAGAAATACCATTAGAAATCTTGCAATGTCAGCCTACATTTTTTTATTTTATTTGGATATTCAAAAACACAAAAAATATACATTAAGAATTTTAATTTAAAATAATCTTAGGGGAGATATTGTTGCGGGTTAGGGGAATGTATATAGTGCGTAGTGCGCATGCTCGAGCTTACCGAGAACGCTTCTTTAAAAATATTGCAATTCAAAATTTTGAGTTACTTTGAACTAGAATTTCTGTAATTTACGATTTTTTTTAGGTACACATACACAATTGCACAAATTTTCTTACGGACACATTTCCAAAACTTGTAAATACATATATATTCACTAATTACAAATAATTAAACATATAAACCCAACATTTTGTTATAGTTTATTTTAGCTTTGAAGATCGCTAACAGCACACCGCCCCCCCCCCCCTCACAAGGATGAAGCATTTTCTGTCTGAACGCTCTCAAAATTTATAGTATAAAACTCACATATATATATATATATATATAATATATATATTTATATAGAGATTCCGAATGAAAAATTCATGTCAGTTGTGGATAATGCAAATGCAAATATGATATGATAATGCAAATATGCTGTTTGCCTAAAGTAACTAGTTGTATGCAACCAACATCATTTTCACTTAGGTGTCCAAAATCAGGACAACCTCACCGACTATTAGTTCTACCATCAACTAGACAGAATGTTAAATTTTTCAACTCAAACCAAACTAGTGCAGTGCGCAATCACACAGAAGACAATGATTTAATAACGCCATAATCTTTATAATTTATTAATGGGGTTATTACCATTATATACGTATAAATTATTTGATTTAGGATGATGTAAAATTCGATCATTCTGCGAATATCTTCAGTTCGTAACAAACTAGGCAAGATTCCGGCCTGATTTTAATTGAATTCAAATTTACACAGTGAAGATGCTACTGTTGGAATGTTAGTGATGATGAACTTGATTGATTCAGGTATATGTATTGTGATGATACTACTCTGAGCCACCAAAAGCTGAAAAATTAACTGAAAGATCAACTTGAGTACGGTGGAAATCGAACCTACGACCTTTGGTTTTCTTGTCCAATGCTTTTTCAACTGAATAATTAGGCTAAAGGTTTGAATGGAAGAATAGGCGATATTTCGGAAATCAATCTAGTTAATCTGTGTTTCTTGAAGTGATAGTGATATGGCTTAGGTAAAATACGAATTCATATTGTAGTGTTGTTATTCTGAGTTACTGAATTATTTTAAAATGTCTATTTCAAATTTAAAATATTAAAAATTTAGTTTGTTATGAATAGAAAATATCCCCAGAAGAGACTTTACATAATCTTTAAATTTCTATAATTTGTCAGCTGCTGGCTGAGTAACGTTTTGGAAAGAACCTGATAAATATAATCATCATGATGAACACGATGCAAACACAAGCTAACATTGTCCAAACCCACAATGAACAAGGTCTGTTTGTGATTTCTTCAAGTCTTTCGCTTTCATGTTTGAGTTTTGTGAAGTTTGAGTCCGCAAGATTTGTGGCGTTTTCCAAAGCCTAGTGAGATGGTGAGGTGAAAATGGCTCAAATCTTATTTTAAATAAAAGTGAAAATTGTGACTAAGTTTATGTGCTTTTAACAAATGTAAATGGCATCATATAAACAGAAAAGCATTCAGAAGAAATATGGAAATGCTTGCAGAGCTGAAAAAGTAATTTTTTGGCAATGTAATTTTTAGCCATTTCAAGGGCTTTAGATGAATTATAAGAAGACTTGCTTGATACCAAAAACTAACCAACCAAAAAGGAGAAAAATACAACAGAAAGAAATTTAGGTTTATCTTAAAAATTTAGAGGTTTAGTAAATTAAAAACTAGTATGAGACTATAGTATGGGTAAGACGGAAAAGAGTAAACAAAAATATAGTCTACTGTGATTTCAAAATGAAACTTGTTTTTCTTTTCATTTTTGATCAAGACTACATTCCGGGTTTCAAGGAATTATTTTCGTCCTCAAGGCAAGGAAGCTAGAAAATTTTAAACCAGGCTTACCTTATTATCCTTCTTGATGATATTGTTGGCAACCAGAGAGTTGTGCTTTAAATTCTGAGCCATTTGAATCATTTCCTCTGCGATTTTTTCCTGCATGTTTTGATGATGTTCTAGGACAGCGTCGAGACCTTCGTCCGTGTTAACGTTCCTGCAGAAAAATACAAAATTATATTAACAATTAGATATGATCCAATTCAACTTTGAATAAAACAAATGACCTGATACATAAAAAATACCAGATACACTTTTCTCATACAATCATTTTTGATACAATCTGTTTATGTGTTATGCCCTCTCTGTGGGGATGTTCATATGAACTGGATCCGGGGGAGTACGGTAGCATGACTATTTGAACTTTGGGAAGAGGTACAACTCCCAGGATATTCCAATATTTTGACCATGCATAAAGAACTGAAAAACTTACCTCGTAGATTTTCTATTTCGTAATTGTGCATCTACACCTTTAAACAAAGGAAAAATAAATCATGTTCAGAGATTTAAAATGCCTCTGAAAAATATTATTTCTAATTCATCAGGTTGTCAAATGCCAGGGTGTTGGTGTTAGTTGTTTCATGATGAGCATCTGATGCAAGCAAAATATCCCAAAGACAAATACCTTCACCCAAGAGCTCATTCCTTGCCTCATTCTCATAGCGTGTTTTAGCTTTCTGATGAATCTGCCTGACCTTCAATGGTGTGACATGTGTTGTGTCTGTTGTGATATGCGGAGGAGCAATTTGTTGGCTGGCAAGCGTCTTCTCGTACACAGAATTCTGTAAATATGGATTTAAAACACTTAATGAGTTATTCATCCAAAACATTTTGTTATTAAAATTGACAACAAGGCAGCCTGGATAATGTACTTAATAATCTCAGGATGCTCAAAAAAAATTATTTTTTTCCCAGATCAATTGTTTTGTACTTTGCAACATTTACTTCGGCAACATACACCACAGAATGTCCAGCAATGTGGGAGTACAAATGTACAATTATTAGGTACTATTTTGTACTAGGCCAGAGGTTTCAATTCAAGTGCAAAATGTACTACCTAAATATTACTGTCTAACAGACTCAGTTAGCTAGCTAGTACATGTAACTCTAATTAAGGTTTTTGCTCTGTTAATTAAGTTGAGTGACCTTGGGATAAATTGATGTATGCCAGGTGTAACTTTATGACCTCAATTTTCTATTTCTACAAATGGGTTTTGCAAGTCAATGTCCAATCGGTTCTGCAAGTCTGCAGCATACGAGTGAAAGTATAAGTATTTGTCTATTATGACTTCAGCATACCAATTTTTCTGTGTCAATGGTATTTTTCAAAAATTCGATTCTTCTAGTGTATTCTTTCATAACCTCTGTGCTTGGTTTACTAGAAAGGAAAGATAATCACTTAACAACAGCAAAAACCAGCTAATCTCATTATCCTGGATGGTTATACACACAATTGGTGTATTGACCTATCAGATATGAAGACACTCTTCAACCAAAATCAGAAAAAAAATCTTTGAAATTGCTCATTTTGCTTCATTTTCAGGTGAATTTTGTTTTGCCTTCTGAGGTAAACTTAACATTTGCACATTATCACATCCTCATTTTGTTGTAAATTCTTATGGGCAGGAAAATTCTGAGAATAGCTTTATTTAGAGAAAGTTTCACAATTTATTAAATAGCCTTATGATTATGAACAGCCCAGCAGTAAAAAATCAATCTAAAATCATTCTACAATCAATCAACCAACCTTATATTCTACAGCCCGTAAATATCATATTTACCTGGGCAACTTTCCTAAGTCCACAATTTGTTTCTGAAGAGCTTTGACATACTATTTTAAAAAGAAAATTATGTTATTAAATGAATAGTAATTCGAAAAATTGGCAGAAATATAGAACAGATTGCAAGATCAGGCTAAATAAAATCCATCCAAAACGACAGCTTACTTTCTCAAGTCTCCAGTTAAGTTTCCCATCAGTTGATTTTATTTCATTGGCCATTGTTTCGCATTGAGCGAGTAATCGTCGTAAATTTATTTCTGCTTTTGACTGGACCGCCATTTTGTTTTAAAGTCCTTCTCCAGATTTAGTTTACTGCTCCAGACATTATAGATATCAAAATAGAGATCAGACATCGAGAATCAAGAAATGACAAGAATTTCCCAAGAATCAGTCAACCAGGAATTTCGCTCAGCTAGGCATTGGTCTATAAAAACACTGAAGTGTGCAGGTCTTATAAAAAGACACTGAAGTGTGCAGGTCTTATAAAAAAACACTGAAGTGTGCAGGTCTTACTAAGGAGTTCTGGAAATGTTCGTAACTAGAGTTGCAACTAACATTGCTAAGATATTGGAAAAATAAACGAATATTGGACTTATAAGTACGGTTATGACGTCAGTACAGGAACATAAAGCCGTAATAACATCCTCTTTGGCATTGCACCAGACTTATCTTCGGTATTCCCCTTATAGTTCAAGGTCTATATCGAAAGTATACTGACACTTCTGAAAATGCTAAAACCAAGCGATACTGCGAGTTCTAATACCGCAGTATCCACAAGCAAGCCTGGCTATAGAGGCTTTCTCTTGGGGTTAAATCGGATGTTCAAAGAGAAAGATTTAAAAGAATTTAAATTTGCATTAAAAGATGTCATTCCTGCTCGCAGTTTGGAAGGACTGCATGAGCCACTTGATGTGTTTTCAGCTCTGGAAGATCGCGGTCTGCTTGGACCAGATAAATTTGACGAGCTTCGTGGATTCCTTGAAGAAATTGATCGACCAAAAATGGTTGATTTGCTCGATGACTTTGATGACGCAGGTACAAAATTTCCTTTGAAGCCAAGATCAGATAACCGTCTCGAGAAAGATGGCTACAGCGTTTCTGTTGAAGGCGGCCGTCATTTTGATACAAGTCAAGGCGAATTCGTTGAAGTTAGAAGTGGATCAAACTACAGCCTGACGTTGATCAACAACAACACCCACCGATGCCTGATCAACATTCAGATTGACGGCTACGAAATGTTTCCAAACGGATTGATTTTTGCACCAAAACAAATATACACGATAGAGCGGCCGTCAAGGATTGAAGAGAAGTTTAAATTCTTCGCCATACGTGATGCACCAGACGGATCTGGTATTAACGGCTGGCGTAAACATGAGAATGGCGTAATTGAAGTGAAATTTACACCCGAGAGAGCTGGTATGAAAATCACTTGCGTAGCACCCGGCTTAGAAACCCGAACAGTTTCTTGTTCCACAAAAGCTACTGATGTTGCTTTTCTTGAAATGGTCGCTCGAGTTTTCGATAACGCCGTCGTGACGGTAATGATCAACTCTTGGAAACCGTTGGGAAAGCGCGGGGTGAAACTTACTTGGTATGGCGTACGTGACGGGTCTAGAGTTATCGTCAATGTTGGTGGGGTCGGTGGCGGTGATCCAAGAGTTCGTAGGGTGGTTGGCCTAAATAAGGGCGATGCAACTTCAAAGAAAAACGCCGACTGGACGGCTGATCAGAGTGCAACTTCAAAGCCAAAGGCGGACGGCGTGTGGAGGGCTGGGGCGACAACCTTGGAAGGCAAGAGTGATCAGAAGTTTCGGAAGGAACTGAAATTCCCAACTGATCCCTCCCGGGCATCGATCCTCAACCTACGCCTTGTTGCTCGTGAGAATGTAATTCCGTTACCTTCTACAGGTAATCCAACCCCCCTGACAAGAGCTACCCTCATACCCCCTCCTGTCCCTAACTAAAGTAAACAAACCACGCATTGAAAGTCAGGTTGACCGATGATTATATCATTCATATGTAATATGACAGACTTTAAAAGAAGTGGACAGTTACAGTTTTATATCTAGCACGATATATTCAGTTTTACAATATATCTGTATGATTTGCTTGTAGAATAATCCTTTTGTCAATGTGAAGAATTCGAGGTTTTATTAAATCGTGCCTATGTTTGTAATAACATATCAATCTTGACTTGGACACATACATCCGAGGTGTTGAAGTTGAATGGATTTTCAAACTGAGTCTTATAATGACGTCAAACGCGGAAAGTCTGATGTTACATGAAATTTGATTGGCTCCACAAAATTATCGAGCCAACCAAACTTCGTGTAAGATCAGTCTTTCCGCGCTTGACGTCATTATGAAAAAGCTCTATTCACCGTGTGCATGAATTTCGTAGGATAAATGAAATCCTAGGGTAAATTCAACCTCGTACCCAGGGTCTTTTGTAGGCTTTCCTGGGGGCACAGTGGGGGGAAAGCACTGCGGGAAAGATCTTTTCTCAGCGGGTGCTCCCCCAGAGTGAGCACAGAGAGTGAGCAAAGAGAAAAGACCCTGGGTACGAGGTTGGGGTAAATTACCGTATATAGCAGCAAAGGAGGCGAGTAACGCGGAAATGCGACATGAGTGGGTGTGAACTGTAAAGCATATTGATATGGTCAAAGTATGTTGTGAAACACAAAACAGTCTGTGACTAAACGTTTCTCGGCAAAGCCGAACAAAGAACTATCTGCTGCTACTATTATCCGACACAGTGTATCATGCGAACGTGGGAACATCACAGTCATTATTATCATACGCACTGATCAACAAACAAGACATGGAAGCATTTTACGAAGCAGCAGCCGACAGACTTTTGATTATCATTCATCAGCAAAATATGTGTCTTTCTGCTGAGAGTCTATGCCACGAATTCAGTAAACGAGTTGGAGTTACACTCGAAGATTTCGTTGGGGTTGAGGGCCATGAATTTGTACGGACGTCACCGGCCTATCGATATTCAAATCCAAATTCATTTCCTAGTCGGGAGGATGGCAAGTACTGTGAAATGCTACTGATAAAAGCTTGTCAGTTGATCGAGGACAATGTCTTAAATTTCGCGTGCGATGACAATATTGAAAACACTGCGTTTCATTATCTCGCTGCTATACCAGAAACATCGCATCTTGTTCGATTACTGTTGAAAGCAAAAGGTAAAGAATTGGCGTTGAAAACGAATATTAACGGTCAAAATATATTACACGTACTCGCTGGAAGGCTGCGTGCAAAAAAAGACAGCGATGGCGATTTGGTGTTTGAAAACGATAGAATTGGAGAAATTGAATGGGCTGTAAAGGACAGAATAGCTTTCTTAGAAATGTTGAAAGAAGAACTGTCTGTCGTCGAGCTATCTCATTTGGTAAACGCACAAGACGAGTTTGGCGATACAGCGATGCACGAATGGGCATTGTCAACATCTGAAACACGATATGCTGAAAGTCAAATAGAAATCGGACAGTTGCTTTTAGATTTTGGGGCAAAATTACGTCTTCCAAACAACGGAGGCCAACTACCTCTGCACTATGCTTTCAACGCAGACGTGTTCGAATTTCTGGTCGAAAAATGCGATGTCTGCCACGTTAGAAATGACTTGGACGAAACGCCACTGATGTTCATCGTAAAAGCAATCATAACACAAGCTTTCTCGAAAATCAACGTGACCAAATATCGAGAGTTGATCACAGTTGCAAAATTTCTGGAAAGGGTGAATCCAAAACCGGTAAAAGTGCGTGAATTGACGCCCTTTATTGAGTTACTTCAAAGGTGTACTGAACTCTGGTACGCGATTGAAATTCCAGACATTGGTGGTGAATATATCTTTGATGTTGTCCTCTCAAGCATCAAAATCTCCTCTTACGAATGGTTTGATCCAATTCTGTCGGTAGAACAGATTCTTTTCTGGAAATTTACATATGGATTGGTCTCGTTACTTGAGAGCATAATTGATACTCCCTTTTGCACAAAACATCTAAAAAAAGAAGTGTTGCATACGTTGTTGAACTTTCATCCAAATATTCCCGAATTGAATCGCGACAACTCAGCTCTCTCAGCACTAATCAAGTGTTTGGACATGCTTTGTCAAAAAGGAGTCGACATAAACTCTCTCGATACAAACGGACTGACGCCTTTAGATATTGCCTACAAATGTTACAGCATTCGGCCAATTTTCTCTAAAATAATCATCGAAAAACTGCTCATGTATGGGGCTCGAAGAAGTGGAAACTCGTTTAAACGTCAACTAACGTCTAGCTGTCCAAAACGTCATCTTCAAAGTGCACAAGATCTTGCAGCAACCACAGGAACAGTAGATAATGTCACTGTTGTCGGAAAATTCCGATATTTCAACGACCAGCCAATCGGGTCTGGCGCCTTCAGCTCTGTATTTCTCGCGATCAAAGATGAGAACCTCGATGAAGGTGGCAAGATGTACTGTCGCTGTTTTGCGTTGAAACGAATCGAGAAGGCAAAAGTTAATCGAAATGAAATCAATCGCGAGGTGAAAACATTGATTTTACTTTCCAACGAATCCACGAACGTCGTGAAGTACTATGGAGTTGAAGATTCCGATGACGCGAATTTCCAGTATCTTTGCCTGGAATTGATGAATGGTGACCTTGAACAGTTCATAACTAATAATTCAACAGTACTCGAAGAAAAGGGAAATGAATCGATCATGAGTGCGGTTCGTGATATCATTCGCGGGGTGGAATTTCTTCACAGAAAAAATTTCATCCATCGTGACATCAAGCCCGGTAATATATTGTACACAGTTGAGCCGAGTTTGCAATTCAAAATTGCCGACTTTGGGCTGACGAAGAAGTTATTTACTTCATCGACGATGACTTTAGGGAGTGGTATTGCCATGGCCCCGGGCACGCGTTGTTGGATGGCACCAGAGCTCATCAGCATGGTGACAACAGATCATAACGAACAGACAGATTTGTTTTCGTTGGGTCTTGTACTTTATTATCTTCTGACTGCAGGCAAACATCCTTTTGCGACCGAAAGGATGGAGCCCTCTCACGTCATCGAGAAAAGAATCGTAGATATGCAAATTCGTTCTGACCAAGTATTACAACAGGAAGCGAGCAGTTTTCTTCACCAGCTTCTTAACAAAAACCCATCCAAGCGTACACCAGCCGAATTTCTTCACCAGCATCCTTTCCTGTGGAGCACCAGAAAAAAGATCGAGTTCCTTAAAGCGGTTGGTTCTCAACCAGAGGCTGTTTTTCCCACTGGCTCGACCTTAGAGCAAAGGTTGCAAACGACAACAACTGGTAGACAGGTTTCTGTTACTACTTGGAATATAGAATGCCGTGAGTTGTTTAATCGTATGACAATGAATCGAAAGAAGAGAAAAATCAAGAGGTACAAAACCAACAAGGTGATCGATTTCCTGCGATTTATCCGCAATGCTTACTCTCATCAGGACGAGAGAAGGTTACCCACTCAACTGAAGCTTGAGAGCAATGTCTTTTTGCGTGAGTACCCTTCGCTTGTGCTCGATGTTTTTACGATTGTACAACAGCTAGGGTATGAGAAGCGTAGCAGCATTTATCAAGCTCTCATGATGGAGCAAAAAGGTTCACCAAACTGACAATAGACGGTGGTCTTTTCAATAACTTCAAATATAACCAAGGTGTAGCGTGCAAGCCAGATTTTCGAGTAACTTCCATTAAAGGTGATGACAACACTGTCTAAAATAAACAAAAAATTCTCCACCTCTTGATCTAATGGCCAGTTTTTGTTTATTTCAGGCAGTTGTTTTACGTCATTTTATGAGAATTTTATGAGAAGTTTTTGAAATATTTATGCTTGGAACTACGATATAACTGCTAATAAATCATAACAAATTATATTTCGCACTGTACAAAGATTGTTATTAGTGAGCTTAAGGTAGTGACGTTTTTGACAACACGTACGTTAACCGAAAGTAAAGTTTTTGTTTCTCATCAATCACAATCCTTGACCCAGTCTTTTGATGTTACTCTTGCCGTTTGTGTTGTCAAAAACGTCACTTGCTTAAGCTCACTATTAACTGACGACGACCTTTAAGAATTGTTCATCTTTTCGAAGAGCAATTGTTCACCTTTCATGAAACATTGGCAGAAGCTTATATTTTGCGCTGTTTTAGACTTCGAGTTGTTACCGCGCCAGGGGTGCGCAAGAGCCCAATAATTGTATTTTTAAACTAAAAAGAAATGATACTGAAGGACGAGTTATCCCGGCTAGGCGAGGTGAAAACTGTATATAATGAAATAAGATTAAGCCTTTGATGCGATGCGCTCTTTATCGTGTGTATTCTTAGCGACAATTAAGAGAACACACAAAATGTAAAATGTAAAAGCAAATGTCACAGATATATTCTCATTAAATTTAAATAAGGGAAATTCCCTCAGAGAGAAAAACTGCTTTATAGCCATATTTCAAACAAACAACATCATTCGTTTAGTATTTCGCAGAAAAATGCCCCTTATAGAAGATTCATCGAGTCCTGAAATCGTAGTTAAATGTATAGATAAATTATTGCTATTCTTGTTCCTTTATGTAGTTAAGTATGTTGTTGTGTAGTTAAAATGTTTTACTAAGCAAATTTTTTATATAAAATATATTTTCTAGCAAATATTAACTTTTGTTTTGGACCTTCACGTGGGGGACACTATCCGCGGTAAAGTAATTAAAGGGGACACTATCCGCTAGCCCTAAACAGAAGTCGACGATAGAGCGGCCGTCTAGAGTGGGAGAGAAGTTTAAATTCTTCGCCATACACGATGCACCAGACGGATCTGGTATCAACAAGTGGCGTAATGAAAAAGATGGCGTAATGAAAAAAATGGCGTAATGAAAAAAATGGCGTAATTCAAGTCAAATTTACACCCGAGAGAGCAGATATGAAAATCACTTGCGTGGCATCCGGCGAAAAAGCTCAAGTACTATCTTGTTCCACAGAAGCAACCGATGTTGATTTCTATGAAATGGTCTCTGAATTGTTTCTTAACGCTTCTGTGACCGTGATGATCAACTGCAAACCTTTGGGGAAGAGAAAGGTGAAACTTACTGAGTATGGCATACGTGACGGGTCGCGAGTTAACGTCAATGTTGGTGGAATCGGTGGCGATAACTTTCGCACGGGTGTTAAGAATACAACTACAAAGAAAGTAGGCGAATTGAGAGCTGGAGCAACAACCTTGGAGGGCGAAAGCAAGCAAACGTTTCGAAGCGGTAAAGGTTTCCCAATTAACGCATCCGGTAAATGTTTCCCAATTGACGCATCCCTGACGCAACCCTCAACCTACGTCTTGTTGCCCATTAGAATGTAACTCCTCTACCTTCTACAGGTAATCCAACCCCCCTCACAAGAGCTACCCTCATACCCCCTCCTGTCCCTAACTTAAGTAAACAAACCACGCACCCTTGATTTCAAAGTCAAGTTGACCGATGATTATTATCATTCATATGTAATGTGACAGACTTTAAAAGAAGTAGACAGTTTCAGTTTTATATCTAGCACGATATATTCAGTTTTACAATATATCTGCATGATTTTCTTTTGGAATAATCCTATTTTAATGTCGGTGTTATATTAAATCGTACCTACGTTTGTTATAACATATCAATCTTGATTTGTTTGTCCCAAAGTCCAAGGTCTTGTTACCTGTGAGAAGTGAGAACGGAAAATCATTTTTTCTTCTGGGGATTCAAGCCAACCCCCCTGGCAAAATAGATCCTTCCCAAAATGCTTTTCTTTCTGATTTAAAAAAAAGGGAATTTCCCTCTGGGATTTCCCCTAGTAAAACGAAAGCTTCGGATTAAAAGCATATCCAGCAAGAAACATTGTTAAGACTTTAGTAATACCAAAACATGCTAAGTATTTTGAATTCTGAACTCGTACTACCTACTACCAGGCGAACCAAGCCTGGCTACCGCGGCTTTCTCTTAGAGCTTAGTCGGGAAATGAAAACTGAAGATTTTAAAGACTTAAAATTCGCAATGAAAGACTTTCCGTCTGGCGAAATTGAAAGATTGAACGATCCACGCGATGTGTTTTCATACTTGGAATATCGCAGTTTACTTGGACCAGAAAAACTCGATGTGCTTCGTGGATTTCTTGAAGAAATCGACAGACCAAAATTGATTGAATTGGTCGATGACTTTGATGACGCTGACTCGACATACCCTCTGAAGCCGAGATCAGATGGTGGTCTCGAGAAAGATGGCTACAGCGTTACTGTTGAAGGCGGTCGTCATTTTGACACAAGTGAGGGCGAATTTGTCGAAGTTAGAAGTGGATCGAACTACGGTCTGACGCTGATCAACAACAATAACCATAGATGCGAGGTCAACATTCAGGTTGACGGCTACGAAATATTCCCAAAAGGATTATTGTGGCCTCTAAAACTACCGGTCACGGTTGAGCGTCCTCCCAAAATCAAGGAGAAATTTAAATTCTTCGCAATTCGCGATGCACCAAACGGATCTGGCATCAACAAGTGGCGTAAAGAAAAGAATGGCGTAATTCAAGTCAAATTTACTCCCGAGAGAGCTGATATGAAAATCACCTGCGTAGCACCCGGTGAAAAAAGTCAAACTATATCTTGTTCCACAGAAGCAACCGATGTTGATTTCCTCAAAATGGTCTCTCAAGCGTTTAATAACGCCGTCGTGACAGTCGCAATCTACTCATGGAAACCGATGGGCAAACATGGGGTGAAACTCACTGAATATGGCTTACATGACGGTTCTCGAGTTAACGTGAATATTGGTGGAATTGGTGGTGTGAAACTTCAAGTACCTTTTAAAAGGGAAAAGAAAAAAGTCGACTGGAGAGCTGGAGCAACAACCTTGGAAGGTGAGACTGATCAGAAGTTTACAACAGCACCAGGCTTTCCAGTTGACCCATCCCTTGCGGTCACCCTCAACCTACGCCTTGTTGCCCGTGAGAATATAAATCCTTTACCATCTACAGGTAATCCAACCCCCCTGACAAGAGCTACTCTCATACCCCCTCCTGTCCCTAACTAAAGCAATGCCAAAGGTGACCACTGCACCTTTCAAGCTAATGACCGGAACAATGCACTATTCCACCTTATCCATAAAGCATGTAATTTACCTATATACTATAGTATAAGTATATGTAGTATGGTATTTTATGCTCAATAAATTAAGGCGAATAGAAAATAGTTTTATCATAGAAAATAGTGAATATTCTTTAAATACTATAAATATGTAAATATAGATCACGTGATTGTACTGCATGCGTTATTTTATGGAAAATCATTAACTGTCTTGAAAATTATAATAAGGAAAAAGGAAAATTAAATACTAGTTTGACTACATCATTATATTAACTATGACTAAATGGAACAATGACATTCGATTTGACATGAATACTTATGCAGTCCACTTGGAACTTACTCATGACTGAGGAAATAACCTCTGGTTTCTAAACTTTTTTTTAAGAAATATTATACTCTTTTTATGTAATTTTAAATGAAATTAAAGTTGTTTATGAAATATCTCTGGCTCAAACAATATGCAGTAATGGCTAACTCCCATTCCGCACGACACTACAATTTTTTCATACATCGCCCCTCCGCACACCGCCGCCATTTTTGCGAATCTATTGCGGATATGCAGGCCGTGTAGACTTCACTCCGAAACACATATAGGTGTAACACCACGTTTATTCACTTCACTTATGGATACATAAAGTAAAAGACGAGAATATAACTATATAAGACTCTGGGTAACTAAAATCGGTGCTTGTAAACGAAGCACGAACGGTCTCTCGTCTTCAGCTCTTCATTTGAAGTCATTTATTTACACTGTTCGAGATGGGAAGGCCAAAACTTAAAACTTCTTGCCAGAATATTCACGAACGCTGAAAGTATACAACACGAATGAGATCCCTTTCATTAAAAACCACTTTGTCACACAATATCAGCAAAAGGAATAAATATACAATTCACGTGATTTATGTATTATGTATTGCAAAACATGTAAAATTAAGTGAATTGCTTGTCTCAATAAATGTGATGTTGATTGTCTCAATAAATGTGATGTTGATTAAATAAATAGTATTTAAATAAATGTGGTATATTTTTGGTCATATGCCATGCATTGAATGACCATTGATAGTGAAATACTAGCAGTCACAAGGAAAAATTGTTTCTTAAGAGAAAATCATAATCAAAGGTATTGGCCTACCAAAATCCTTACCAACCATCACCAGGTTTAAAAGTAGACAAGGTTATATAATTAAGTGCGAAATATACAAACCATTTTTGCATCAAATATTGACCGTGGTTGATCTGATCTTGTGTTCCACTGATTGTTATAATTCGGTCGTAGGAACCAGGCATTGGTTCGTCAATCTTGATGTTGGCACCCGTATCGCGCCTGGTAAGAACATTTTAACCATCATCACTCATACTGAATACTATAGCACATAAACCAGTTACAAGAACTCTTGTCCTGATTCATCAAAAAGGTATTCTTGGCAAACATGTACCCATTATACCATGAAAAGCGACTTTAGGAAAAAAATTACAGACAACTGTCCGTTGGAAGAAAAAAGGAGATAAAAGCACGACTTTATACCTGATTCGGTTAATTCTGTTCCCACCAGGACCAATGATAGACCCAGCCAGCTGAAAATGAAAGTTTTTTTTAGGATCTGATCTGAGGAGCTCGGTCAATCCGAGATGAGAATTTTGAAAAAGACTACGATGTGTTAAGAACTGTTAATCTTACATCTTTCGGGATGGTAACTTGTGTTGTGGTGCTGTTTGGATCAAATTGTTGCGCCCCGGGATTCGCGTTGAAGTTGTCCACAGGAAAATCACCTGGCTAGAAGAGTATATATTTGTTTACTTATATTTACCTGAATAAACTATATGTTGTACTCTCACAAAAAATATTCATATACTGAAGGATAGGTTCGTGCAGGGTATTATTATATATATATATATATATATATATATATATATATATATATATATATATATATATATACTCACCATTTGCCCTCCACCAAACATTCCTCCAGGGGGTGGCCCCCCTTCCATAGGGCCGGGTCCAAAGTTTGGACCACCTCCACCGCTATTTCCACTACGTCCAGTATACACTCTCCCCCCACCTCTACCACGCCCTCCTCTACCACCGCGTCCTCGGCCCCCACGTCCGAATCCCCCACCTTGGTGGAAACCGCCGAAATCACCGTGGAACGAACCAACTTGGCTGGGATCGTACAGGTTGATCTGGCCTTTGGTCGGTGTCTGGATGGATATGAGAAAGAATTGTACTAAAATTTTATTATGTGTACGCACACGAGCGTCGTTTTTGAGCGCTTTCAAAATCGTTTTTGTCTAAGAAAAATTTGCCTAATAATTATATGTTAAAATTTGCCTAATATGTCCAAGAAAAATTTGCCTAATATGTTAAAATAGCTTAAACTTTTATTGTACATTGAATGGGTGTTTGAAACCGCTTAGCATAAAAACGAATGTGAAAACGCTTGAAAACTTTACCGTGTTCACATAGTCTTAATATCTATTTTCATAACTTTATTGGGAACTTTAAACGTGAACTCCATTGTTTTACTGGCCGTTTGGTTCGTTCAAAGCATTATTCCGTCATCTTTCTCAATTTCGGAATATTTTCTAGAAACATTTTGCTCTTACCTCTCGTAATGTTTCACAGATATTTTGAACGCAGTCGACAATGTGATCAGGTGTTCCTGAGAAATATGGTTGAAATATATTTCATTAGAAAAGGCGGGAAAAATCAATGAAATCATCATATAAATAGTACCTTGAATGGCCACAATTCTTTCTGAGGATTCAGGAAGACAATCAGGGAATACCTGAAACAAACGATAGAAATTTTCAGACAAAGATACAAAAAACATCCATTTTAATAGTCATTTTAAACATCCCATGTTTAATAGTTGTGGCAAAAATCAACACATTGAAATAAAAATTGCATCTCACCTTTACATTTGTCTTTGTAGCCTATTTCAAGAATAAAATAGCCGTTAAAACCTTGAAAATATTTTATGGGACAGACAGTAATGTTGTGCTATGACTCAGTTTAAAAGATTCCAAAAAAGATTTTGATGTGGTAAAGCAATTATAGAAGGTGGCATCATAGACTGAGGCAGAGGAGGCCAAAAAAGGGTTTAAATGGATATAGCAACAATCTTTTTAGTACAATTATCCAAATTCTTCAGGCAGACCTACCTCTCTTAAACTCTTAATTTTGGATCCGCCACGTCCAATGATACTGCCAGCCTGGCTCTGTTGTACCAGCATCTGAATCTCTGGGTCATCGCGAGGGTTCACTCGCAGTTGAGACTGGAATGGTAATTTCAGTTTTTCAGATGATGAAAATCTAAGGTAGCATGTTCATGTTGAATATTGCAACAACATACCTCGCATATCTTGGGAATGCATTCATGTAAGATAGTTAAAGCTGATCCCAGGACAGCATTGATGCTCAGCACTCTGAAAAAGGAAGGATTTTATCTAACACAAGAGTGGATATTATACCCTGTAAATGTGCAATTCACCCAGAGAATATCAAAATTGTGCAATTCACCCAGAGAAAATCAGTCATCAGTCACCAAGAAATGGCAAGAACTTCATAGAAAAGATCAGAAGAATTTCCCAAGAATCAGTCACCAAGAATTTCGCCCCGCTAGGCATAAGGCATTGGTCTATAACAACACTGAATATAAAAACACTGTGTGCAGGTCTTATAAAAAACATTGAAGTGTGCAGGTCTAAAGAAGTTCTACACTAGTCCGTTCTGCGCATAGGTTCTGCTCATAACAAGTGTGGGCCCTCTGATGAGAAAATTCCCTAAATTTCGCATGTTTCTTATTTTTTCTTAACATAAACTCTAGTTCATATTAATTTACAAGCACAACGAACCTAAATAGTGTTAGATATTCAGACAGCACATCGTATTTTAAAAAATAGTGAAGTTCAAAATGTAAACAAACCGTTTGTTTACATACGGACTTGACTTCTACTTTAATTGAATTAAATTCAAAATCAAATCAATTCAGATCAATTCAATTCAATTAAAATCATTTCAAATTATTTCAATTTGAATCAAATCAATTTCAATCGATTCAATTCGGATCAATTTGTAGCAGGTGTTGGACTTATGCGTACGGTTATGACGACAGTACAGGAACATAAAGTTTCCCCCCGCTGTGTTTTCATATAAATTGTTTCTTCCTGTAGGCCTCAATAACATCCCCTTTGGCATTGTAGTATACTTATCCCTTATAGATCAAGGTCTAAGTCGAAAGTATACTGACACTTCTGAAAATGCTAAAACCAAGCGATACTGCGAGTTCTAATACCGCAGTATCCACAACCAAGCCTGGCTATCGAGGCTTTCTCTTGGAGCTACATCGGATGTTTAAAGAGGAAGATTTAAAAGAGCTTAAATTTGCAGTAAAAGATGTCATTCCTGCTGGCAGTTTGGAACGACTGCATGAGCCACTTGATGTGTTTTCAGCTTTGGAAAATCTCTGTCAACTTGGACCAGACAATCTTGGTGTTCTTCGTGGATTCCTTGAAGAAATTGATCGACCAAAAATGGTTGAATTACTCGATGCCTTTGATGACGCAGGTACAAAATTTCCTTTGAAGCCAAAATCAGATAACCGTCTCGAGAAAGATGGCTACAGCGTTTCTGTTGAAGGCGGTCGTCATTTTGATTCAAGTCAAGGCGAATACGTTGAAGTTAGAAGTGGGTCGAACTATTGCCTGACTTTGATCAACAATAACAACCATCGATGCCTGATCAACATTCAGATTGACGGCTACGAAATGTTTCCTGAGGGAATCATTTTTCGCCCTAAACAGAAGTCGACGATAGAGCGGCCGTCAAGAGTGGGAGAGAAGTTTAAATTCTTCGCCATACACGATGCACCAGACGGATCTGGTATCAACAAGTGGCGTAATGAAAAAAATGGCGTAATTCAAGTCAAATTTACACCCGAGAAAGCAGATATGAAAATCACTTGCGTGGCATCCGGTGAAAAAGCCCAAGTACTATCTTGTTCCACAGAGGCAACCGATGTTGATTTCTATGAAATGGTCTCTGAATTGTTTCTTAACGCTTCTGTGACCGCGATGATCAACTGCAAACCTTTGGGGAAGAGAAAGGTGAAACTTGCTGAGTATGGTATACGTGACGGGTCGCGAGTCAACGTCAATATTGGTGCAATCGGTGGCTTTCGCACGGGTGTTAAGAATACAACTACAAAGAAAGTAGGCGAATTGAGAGCTGGAGCAACAAGCTTGGAGGGCGAAAGCAAGCAAACGTTTCGAAGCGGTAAAGGTTTCCCAATTAACGCATCCGGTAAAGGTTTCCCCATTGACGCATCCCTGGCAGTAACCCTCAACCTACGCCTTGTTGCCCATGAGAATGTAATTCCTCTACCTTCTACAGGTAATCCAACCCCCCTGACAAGAGCTACCCTAATACCCCCTCCTGTCCCTTACTAAAGTAAAGCCAAAGGTGACACTGTACCTTTCAAGCTAGAACAATGCACTATTATTCCACCTAATCCATAAATCATGTAATTTACCTATATAGTATAGGTATTATAACAAGGAAGAATTTCGTTTTGAACAAATCCGCACATTTGTTTGCATTTTCAGGCAGAGCCAATCAGAATTCCTAGATTTTTAATACTTCATGTAAAATGGCAAATGATGTAACTTCTTATCGGAAGTAGTCAAGATTTATGCATTCTGATTGGCTTACTGAAAATGTAAACAAATATGCTGCAATCAGCATATTTAACAAAAACGAAATTTCCTCTTGTTATAGATATAGATCACGTGATTGTACTGCATACGTTAATTTTATGGGAAATCGTTGGATAACTGTCTTGAAAATTTCTTAAATGACATAATAAAGCGAACAATATTGATATTAATACGAAAGAGGAAAGGAAAATTAAATACTAGTTTGACTACATCATTCTATTAACTATGACTAAATGGAACAATGACATTCGATTTGACATGAATACTTATGCAGTCCACTTAGAACTTACTCATGACTGAAGAAATAACCTCTGGTTTCTAAATTTTTTTTAAGGAATATTATACTCTTTTTATGTAATTTTAAATGAAATTAAAGTTGTTTATGAAATAACCCTGGCTCAAACAATATGCAGTAATAGCTAACTCCCATTCCGCACGACACTACAATTTTTTCATACATCGCCCCTCCGCACACCGCCGCCATTTTTGCGAATCTATTGCGGATATGCAGGCCGTGTAGACTTCACTCCGAAACACATATAGGTGTAACACCACGTTTATTCACTTCACTTATGGATACATAAAGTAAAAGACGAGAATACAACTATATAAGACTCTGGGTAACTAAAATCGGTGCTTGTAAACGAAGCACGAACGGTCTCGTCTTCAGCTCTTCATTTGAAGTCATTTATTTACACTGTTCGAGATGGGAAGGCCAAAACTTAAAACTTCTTGCCAGAATATTCACGAACGCTGAAAGTATACAACACGAATGAGATCCCTTTCAATAAAAACCACTTTGTCACACAATATCAGCAAAAGGAATAAATATATAATTCACGTGATTTATGTATTATGTATTGCAAAACATGTAAAATTAAGTGAATTGCTTGTCTCAATAAATGTGATGTTGATTGTCTCAATAAATGTGATGTTGATTAAATAAATAGTATTTAAATAAATGTGGTATATTTTTGGTCATATGCCATGCATTGAATGACCATTGATAGTGAAATACTAGCAGTCACAAGGAAAAATTGTTTCTTAAGAGACAATCATAATCAAAGGTATTGGCCTACCAAAATCCTTACCAACCATCACCAGGTTTAAAAGTAGACATGGTTATATAATTAAGTGCGAAATATACAAACCATTTTTGCATCAAATATTGACCGTGGTTGATCTGATCTTGTGTTCCACTGATTGTTATAATTCGGTCGTTGGAACCAGGCATTGGTTCGTCAATCTTGATATTGGCACCCGTATCGCGCCTGGTAAGAATATTTTAACCATCGTCACTCATACTGAATACTATAGCACACAAACCAGTCACAAGAACTCTTGACTTGATTCATCAAAAAGGTATTCTTGCCAAACATGTACCCATTATACCATGAAAAGCGACTTTAGGAAAAAAAATACAGACAACTGTCCGTTGGAAGAAAAAAGAAGATAAAAGCACGACTTTATACCTGATTCGGTTAATTCTGTTCCCACCAGGACCAATGATAGACCCAGCCAGCTGAAAATGAAAGTTTTTTTAGGATCTGATCTGTGATCTTTTTTAGGATCTGATGTGTTAAGAACTGTAAATCTTACATCTTTCGGGATGGTAACTTGTGTTGTGGTGCTGTTTGGATCAAATTGTTGCGCCCCGGGATTCGCGTTGAAGTTGTCCACAGGAAAATCACCGGGCTAGAAGCGTATATATTTGTTTACTTATATTTACCTGAATATACTATATGTTGCACTCTTACAAAAAATATTCATATACTGAAGGATAGGTTCGTGAAAAGGACATATATATATATATATATATATATATATATATATATATATTATATATATATATATATATATATATATATATATATATATATATAAAATTATGTATACTCACCATTTGCCCTCCACCAAACATTCCTCCAGGGGGTGGCCCCCCTTCCATGGGCCCGGGTCCAAAGTTTGGACCACCTCCACCGCTATTTCCACTACGTCCAGTATACACTCTCCCCCCACCTCTACCTCGCCCTCCTCTGCCACCGCGTCCTCGGCCCCCACGTCCGAACCCTCCACCTTGGTGAAAACCGCCGAAATCACCGTGGAACGAACCAACTTGGCTGGGATCGTAAAGGTTGATCTGGCCTTTGGTCGGTGTCTGGATGGATATGAAAAAGAATTGTACTACAATTTAATTATGTACGCACACGAGCGTCGTTTTCGAGCGCTTTCAAAATCGTTTTTGTCTAAGAAAAATTTGCCTAATAATTATATTTTAAAATTTGCCTAATATGTCCAAGAAAAATTTGCCTAATATGTTAAAATAGCTTAAACTTTTATTGTACATTGAATGGGTGTTTGAAACCGCTTAGCATAAAAACGAATGTGAAAACGCTTGAAAACGTTACCGTGTTCACATAGTCTTAATATCTATTTTCATAACTTTATTGGGAGCTGTAAACATGAACTCCATTATTTTACTGGCTGGTTGGTTCGTTCAAAGCATTATTCCGTCATCTTTCTCAATTTCTGAATATTTTTTAGAAACATTTTGCTCTTACCTCTCTTAATGTTTCACAGATATTTTGAACGCAGTCGACAATGTGATCAGGTGTTCCTGACAAATATGGTTGAAACGTATTTCAATAGAAAGGCGCGAAAAATCAATGAAATCATCATATAGTACCTTGAATGGCCACAATTCTTTCTGAGGATTCAGGAAGACAATCAGGGAAAACCTGAAACAAACGTGGGAATTTTTGAAACACAGATACAGAAAACATCCATTTTTTGGCCGACAGAAATTAAACAGATGCTGAATGTCACACTGACTGAGAAAAAATCTCCCATGTTTAATAGTTGTGGCAAAAATCAACATGATATTTACCTTTACATTTGTCTTTGTAGCCTATTTCAAGAATAAAAAATCTGTTAAAACCTTGAAAATATTTTATAGGACAGGCAGTATTGTTGTGCTATGACTCAGTTTAAAAGATTCCAAAAAATATTTTGATGATGTGGTGAAGCAATAATACTAGGTCGGGCATCATAGACTGAGGCAGAGGCAGGCCAAACAATGTGGTTTAAATGGATATAGCAACAATCTTTTTAGTACAATTATGAGGCAGACCTACCTCTCTTAAACTCTTTATTTTGGATCCACCGCGTCCAATGATACTTCCAGCCTGACTCTGTTGTACCAGCATCTGAATCTCCGGGTCATCGCGAGGGTTTACTCGCAGTTGAGACTGGAATGGTAATTTTAGTTTTTCAGATTATGAAAATCTAAGGTAGCATGTTCATGCTGAATATTGCAACAACCTACCTCGCATATCTTGGGAATGCATTCATGTAAGATTGTTAAAGCTGAACCAAGGACAGCATTGATGCTCAGCACTCTGAAAAAGGAAGGATTTTATCTAACACAAGAGTGGATATTATACCCCGTAAATGTGCAATTCACCCAGAGTGTTAAAATATATCAATTTATAATTGTGTGTATTAAGAATGAAAATTGAAACTTTAAAAAAGCTCATATCTTTCTTCATTCATATTTTCATAAATTGATGATTGCCATCAACAAGACTGCAGTTTGGCATAGAAATATACCAGGAATAAAACGAATAAACTGTATAACAGTATATGATATATCATCAAATGATATATTACATCATATGTTTTTCAACCAATCTGATTTTTAAAGACTCTTTCCAAAGTTTGTTAAAAGATGTGCATTCTTGAGTAGATTTCCACTCGAAATTCGTGCAAGTTGTGTTTCAACCAAATCAACAATACAAGGGAACCCTTCAACCGTCAAAACAGTCCACAAAACAAACTACATTCCAATGTAATTGACTAATGCAACAGCACGAACTCCTGGGAAGGAGGGAGTATAACGGGACATACCGCTCTGGGCAACTTGTGTCGGGGATATTGACTGTGGCTTTGAACTGCGGGACCAGGGTGTGTTCAGAATGGGCATTATGCGTGAACAGACAGGGTTGGCGAATAATCCAGGGAGGAGATTTCATTCAGAGTTCATCCAAAGGTTCAAGCACGTACAAGGGCAAGAACCGGGCATCAAGTATTCGCAGGGCAGGGCATTAAAGAAAAAACAAGCAAATACATTTAGTATGAAGAAATGCAAGTCAACAAGGTTAAACATGACCGTGTCACATGCCACCACAGTTGATAGCTTGCAAGCGTAGAGCTTGATGATAATATACAGTACAGTACCTGTTCTCTCAGTCGCTTGATATTTGAACCTCCCTAAACAAAGAAAAAAAACATTGCAATTTCAATTATTTGGTAATAAAGATGAAACTTAGGGACCTTTAAAACTTAATTGGTTTCCATAAGGTGGAATCTTTCGCTTTTGATTAATTACATTTTATTTATAACACAAATTGGTGGATTGCGGATACAGGGCTTGTGTGACCATTTAGGACTTAACAGTTAGATCTTTCCCAAGATTTTTTGGGTCTGAGATGACAATTTTGGAATTCAAAGATTTAATCATTGGTACGGTATGTAGAAAATTTCCACTTTGCTTATATTGGTTTGCAGTCACATGGAAATGTTTCAGTTAGACAATACCATTACTAACCTTTCCAATAATACCACCAGCATCCTAAAAAGATACAAAGAAAATACCATTAATGAATTGGATATGTTTTTACCAGACTCATTTAAACACCAACATTACATACTTTGCTGTTCACCAAAATCCTGAGAATGGTGTTTGGTCCTTCACCAGCTTCTACACGCATTCTTTTTGTTACATGCTGTTCATATCCATCTGATTCATCAACTGGACGCTTGTTGGAAAAGCTTGGATTTTCATAACTCTGGTCATCATAGGTCTGGTTGTTGTCATATGTCTCAGCTAGTTTGGAATAAGAAATGTCCAATTTGAGAGCACAACATACAACCAGCATATCAAATATGATAATAAAAACCATACATACTTTCTACTGGTGCACTTTCTGTTGTTGGTACTGGGACTTCACTGGATGCCATAATGACCTAAGCTACCACAGACAGAGTGTCTTGAAAATGGCCCTTTTAAAACGAAATAAAAGCACATTAGTATTAATCAATGCTTTTCTGTTACCACATCAATGTGATCCCAATAGATCATGCAATTTTGATATCCTAAAAATGTTATGTCTTGGGTAATTTTGATTCATTTGACCATATTGAAAAGCACCGTATAACAGTATACAGACACAGTATCAAGTTTCACTTTATGAGCCACAATGTTGGATAATTCTCATTTTAGGATGCACAACTGTTGGTACATTAATGAAAGACCATTGGAAGGGATGTAAATTCAAGTAGCATTTGTTCTAAAATTTTTTCTGTGAAAATTAAATGGTATATATTGTACAATGTCACACTGCAACATTTGGAAGTTCCAGCTTGTGGTTGGAAATTTCTAAGTTTAACGTGAAAATGATGAATAAAAGTAATTATGACACATTCGTAAATGGGTGCCCACACCATATGTCCGCTTTGATGTGATGTATCAGAACAAACTATAGTAAATCTTGTAACTGGATGTGCAAATGTGTACCCTGAATGACCAGAACAAATATCAATAGTGCTAATGAAACATGATACCACCTTCTATAGTCAAAACTTTACATTTTTAGAGAAATGTAAAATCTCCCCAAGTTTTAATGCATGTTTAATCCCAAAATATCGAAAGATTGCTTCAATAAGTTTACCTGTGGAATACAGGTATTTTTGATGAATCCGAAGTACGTAATTGGGCCTGTCCGAACATGAAAACTTAAGTGAAGGCCCAATATTTGGATACTTGAAATTTCCCCTTAGAAAACGAGGTAATATTCAGTTTCATCTCAATTGCTTCTGAAAAGTAAATCTAAGCTAATCTTCTGTCTATTAAACTGAAACACAAACGACAAATCGACGAAAAGGGAGCTCAGCATGTCGTCAGCAGCGGGCAATATGCTGTAGGCCACAATTTTCTGAAGCAATCGAACGAAAAATTACATGCAAAGGAAGTATAAAATGTATTCAAAATACACGAATATATATCTAAGAGTGTATAAACGATATATGTAGAGGGAATTACCAGGTTTAGAGGCCAAAAAAGGTTAAAATAATTGAGGAAAATCTCCAAAGTGCTTCTCTTCCTTGACAAATTTTCAAAACACAAGTCACATGACCAACCGCTACCCGACATGCCTCATGGGAGCGTTTTCGGGCTTCGCATTGCATTGTGGTAGTCATAACCAGTCTACCAATAATAACGCGCGTCTACTACCCTCTGGCAATTCTTCGACATTGTTATTTGTTAAAAATCCATTGAATGGAGAAATCGGACGCACAAATTGTTACAGAAAAATACAGTCTTTCGCAAGTCTTCTGTCTCCACAATTATGACTTGAAGCAGCTGACTTGTTGTAAAAAAGTTTGTAGCAAAAGCGATGACCTTTACGACAAAGAAAATTAGGTCGAAGGCTATAGAAAACGAATGTTTACAGCATTCCGCAAAAGCGTAATTTTCCATGCGTTATTAACAAGGCGCTTAGTAGTTATTATAGCTACTATATAAGCGCCTTGACAAGGGAAGCGTTTAAAGACACAATATATCTCAAAGTTCATTTGACAAATATATCTCAAAGTTCATTTGAAATTTCTTTATTTTCTGCATCTCTTTAGTGCGAAGATATGTACTCTGTATTTGTTTAATAAATTCCAGTCTTTGTTTTAATAGTATCAAACAGTAAGGACGTCACGAAACACACACACATTGTTTATAATACGCCGTATTGCAAAATCCGTCGCAATACTAAGTTACAATGCAGTCAAATGGGAAATTTACATATAATTTACACATCATTTCTCCAAGTATAGAAATATTCTTTCAAAAACGAGAAACAGTCGGGGCGGCATTAAATTCCTACACATTACACCACAAAAATGTTTAATTCGAGGGGGTCCGGGTTCACGAGGCACACTTTTTCCACGGGTTGGGGGGGATCAATTTGTTCCTGACCAAAATGGCTGGTGAGGAGGATATATCGACGGGGCATGGTGAGACTTGTTCTGCGAAACTTTGCCTTGATTCTGCGCCCCCCGGTTTTGGTTCAGGTTGTCCAATTGTTGTTGATGCGAGAGATGATGGCTCGGGAAGAGCGACGGGGGGTGTTGGGTCGGCGCTAAGACAGGCATGATTGGGAAACCTGCAGGATGAGGTTGGTGACCTTGTCCTGGCAATGAAATATTCAATGGCGGCGGTGTTCCACTCAGATAACCTTTGTCGGCAAACTATGTATTTGAAATAAATGACGTTGGCATAAAAGTGATATTTCAGACTGCATTCAAGGTACAGCCTATGAAAGACTTCATTCAGGTCTGAGTTCCTGGAAATGATCAAACTTTATCTAATCTTAAGACTCGATCAAACTTCATCAAATTCTAAGATTTAACTTGAAACTTAACCAAACAGTCGTAATACGTGTTCTACCACCATAGTATAGTAATGCTGACCTGTGGCTTATATGCCGTTGACAAATCTGACGCGCTGTTGCTTGGAGTACTTCCACTCACTAAAACGATATTCATTGAAAATTTACCATCAGCAATGTACAAACAAGTAGTCAGAAGCTCAAGAAGAGCAATTCGTCTGTAAATTACCCACAAAAGCAGGCAGTGTTTGAGAGAGGCGTTTTCTCACCTGGATTGGCTTTACTTTGTGCCGGGTGCTGATATCCTTGTTTACCAAAGTCATGCGTACTTGACAAGCCGTCGTATCCTTAAATTATATTGTCTGGCTTAGTTATGACATCGGAGACAAGACGATTGATCTTAATCAATACGTCGTTATGCTTTTGTTAAAACAGTTTTCGAAATTTCTTCCTCGACAGCAGACTCATTACGAAATGGGCAAAACTTTTGCAGTACACTAAACTTATAAACATCTCGAATCGGGTAAACTCGCTACAGTTGGGAACCAAAATATTGCAAATTATCTTTCCCCCACAACACCTCAGTTTCTTAAAAAATTCACAATTGTGTACCTGACGTGTAGTGCGGACCAAGCTGGTTGGCAAAGGTCTGTTGAAACTGTGTTGTAACGCCAGGTCCTTTCGCAGGAAGCTAAGCAAGAAGAACGTGAACCGTGAGGTTTTAAAAAAGATCTGTCAAAAGTCGCAAACCTTCACAAAACTTGCATACTTGGTACATCTGTGCCGTGTACGGCATGCCGTGTATCATTCCACCGCCATGATAGAAAGCCAGGTTACTCGCGAAGCCAAACGGATGTAATTGCGCATGCGTGTTGATAAACGGAGTCGCCTGCTGTCCATGCGGTCCAGCGGTGAGGGTCGAAGGCACAGGCGAGGAGGTGTCGTTCCTGTTGTACTTGACGTCTGCGCCTAACAGTAAAGATACAGTTAGTTTAAACCGGGGAGGGGGTGGGGGTGAGTCGACAGTGCTGCGAAATGAGATCAATACAAGTGGAGCGACATGTCACGGGGGGGGGAGTGAAGCCAGTCCAAAGAGCGAAGTCCCTACCTGAGTAAGCGTTTTGCACGCCGTCACGTCCAGTCACGGGGAAAGGTATATCGTAGCCATAGGGGGGCTAAAAGGAATAAAAATATACGTTTATATATCTTTGAAATGTGGCAAAGCAAACAAAGGAGGACACCTTTACCATTTGCATTCGCTGCAACATCTGTACATCGTCAAGAGGGTAGGCCAGTGGCTGAAATATCGAGACAACACATGAGCAATGAATCTGGGTACTCTATAGCACACAGTCATCTACACACTAATCGTTTAAAGGAAACATAGATTTTGAGAAATTGCAGAAATTTTTTTGCGAAAAACTTACCGAAAATCCAGCAAATCCAGGAGCAGGTTGCATACCGTAGAGGGGCATTACTCCCGGTGGTAGATTAGGCGGCTTTGCTGCAAGTATGCATGAGATAAATATTAGTCTGTACTGAATTATTTAAAATAATATTATTTCAGTGGAATGTAAAACACACAGGAAGACTAGGAACAAATGGGATGATAATTGAAAATTGGAAATCATATCAGATAATGAATTTAAATTTATAAAATTGTGAATAAAAAGTCGATTTTACAAAACGTTGCTTTTGAATAAAAATACTGAATAAAACATTGCAAAATTGAACACGGAATATATGTTGATTTGATGGTTAATAAACTCCACGCGTTTCAAACTTCCACACACATAACACGCATTTTATCGAAAATATGGAAAACATCTTCGCGAAGACAATCGTAATTTGGTCACCACACTTCAGGCTTAGAATACAGTAACGTTTCCACGCATAACTTTCGTTCACACACAAACGTTTTCGTAAACGTTTTCCACGCATTTTCACGCGTTTAACACGCACAACTACCTGTGAAGACATCCCAATATCCTTGTTCAAAACAGTTGTCTGTATATCGTAATGACTTACTGCCGTGAGCCGCTGGTCGATTGATGACGTTCGTACTTGAAGTCTTTGGCGGTCCTGTAGCCGCGGGCTGTATACCCGAAATGATGCCGGGCGGCGGGCCCGCAGGACCAGATGCACTCAGGCTTACGCCCGCAGGCGTCGGGTTGGGTCTGGTCGTTGACGATGAGGTAACGCCGAGGCGCGACCGCATTGCACTTTGGTCAGCGTGCGGTGAAGGCGAATGGCCAATGGCAGGCTGTTGGGTAAGTAGAAAAAGATAATATTTTTTAGTTTCTCATTAAATAGGTTGAAAATTTCATGGTCGAAAGTCTCGCGATAGTACTTACTGCTTGCTGGTGGACTCTCTCATCCAGTCTCTCGTCAGAGGTCGTGAGAGCCTCGATCTGAGAATGTAACGAGGTCGCTCGACTTGCAACGCCTTCGTTGTTCTTCGCTAGCGACGCCGTCATCGTTGTGGTCAGCGGCATAGGAGAGGTCGACACGTCGACTTTCTTAGCAAGCGCCGTCGTTGACATCGGCGGCGTCTTGGGTTCACGCGGGGGCTCAGCTTTCACTTTCCGAGGACTGGGCTCGGGGGTGATCTAAAGTGAACAATTGATAATTTCAGGTTTCATTTAGTAGGTCAATCCAGTGAGCATTATGAGATCTGAAGCATAAACTGAACTCGTAATACTACTAGTGGGACCTATCAAAATCCAATTCTATGCTAAGTCTATACTTTTTGTATATTCGGGAGATTTAAAATGCGATATTTTTCAATTTTCGCACCAACCTGAGTCATGGCAGATTTTGAGCTGGGTGTGCCTGGCGTTGCGTAATGTCTTGGTGACATCTGTTCGTACGTGTCGACGACAGAACTCTCCGATGTCATTGACGTTGTTGCCATGGGTACGGGTTTCGTGATATTAGAAGGAACAGTGCTGACGACAGCAGCTGGTGAAGCTTGTTGGGGGATGTTCATGTTCCTAGAAGGACAATGCATTGGATGATATGCAAGAAAAAAGCAAGTGGACTATGCTGGGCATAATTTTCGTATCACACAAAGTAACCACACGCAATAAATGGTTGATACCCAAATGAAAAGAGAAACTTTACGGACATAAACACAAGTACTAACCCAGATTGCGGAAGAGGAATCGATTCCTACAAAATAAATGAAATAAATGCCAATTATTTTCTATGAACCATTATCATTCATATTTAAGAAAAATAAATTTTGAGTCTCTTTTTTCCCACCTCTTTCGGCTGCCTTATTCGCGCCTCTTCGGGTTTACCTTTGGTCATCATTTCGCCGTCAAATTCCAGGTTTCCAAACTAAACAATATTGAAGTTTGGTTCAAGTTTTTCACTGTCTGGAAACGGCCGTATTCTACTACAGACAACTGAACTCTAAATACAACTGGATCTCTAAACACTGAACGTAACTTTTGCTGCTAACGAACATGAAGTTAATGAAAAAATCTGTTATATGTAGGAATTACTTTATGTAAAAGGAAAATATTCAAGAACTACAGAATAAGCCGCCAAATAGGCTTTGCTCTTGTGTTTCGATTGTTATGGATTTGTTTCACTGGTTCCAGCAGAAGACTACATATGATTTTGATCTCAATACAAACCTGGACATCAAGAGAGTCCACGCCACCATTGTTTCCCGGCATTTCAACAGCTTGTTTTGGAATCTAAACATTCAATCATTTACATTTTTCACCTAGTTATTGAAAATGCAAAAATTACAAGAATGGACCTCCAATTAAAAACCACACATCTAGATCAATTTTCTAGGTAACACAAATTTAGTATCAAGAATATCGAATATTGAACAAGTAAGAAAGTGCGATGTATACATGATGGCATTAACAGGGGAGGCTATAAAAAGTCGGGTTCTCCATGACTGAAGAGAGTGAATCGCTAGTGCATTATTATTAGATGTTTGTTCAAAAGAATCTAATCAGTGTTCATAGTTCTCATAAACAAGTCGATTACAAATCCTTACCTGTCCTTTCGGTAGTCTTTTCGTGCGACTTTTTTGTTGCCTTTGTGGTTGAGGTGGTTCGGAATCCGCTGCCATATTGACCGCGGGCTGTTGACTGGCGGTCACCTGACCTGCTGACGCATGCACTCGGTCCATCGAAGGCGGGCGGTGATTGGTCATCTTCGTGAGCCCAGCGTTCGCCAAGCTCGCTATACCGGTGTCTTTGGGCGTGGTCGAGGGTGCATCGGTGGGAAGGCCGAATGATTTTGGGGCGTCGCTGGGATACGGTTGCGAGGAGGCGGTAGGTGCGGTAGAAAACCTGGGAGGCTCCTCGTGGTTTTGTAGCAGAGGCGAGGCTTTCGACGCGATCTTTGAACTGAGGATTGCTTCATCATCACTGCACAAGTAGAGGGATATATTAGATAAATATATCAACGTTCACTAACCGACTTGTTCAAACCCGATAAGCGATAAGCCCGGATTGAAATGAAGGGGAAATAAATCCTCGATTGGACCTCAAAGAGTTAAAGATTTACACTAACTCTGGTTTACGGTGATCGGCTTTAGAGTTTAAAATGACCGGGGACTGTGCATACCTGTACTGTGGCCTTGACCGTTATAACATGGGGGGAGATAATGAAGGAGTTGGTAAAAGGTGACAATGAACGGGTACTTAGTGGAACAAGGCGAGTGTCAACCGGTACCAGAAAAGATAATAAAAAATACTTAATTACCATTCAGGCAGATGGTTCACGTGATTCGTCAGATTCTGATCAGCATGATTATCACGTGTTTCCCACGTGTTTGTTTTCTTATCATTCTCCGTCGTGGCCCAGGATGGCATGTTCGATGTATCGTTTTGTTTCTAGGCACCAGAGATGTACATACATTTAACCTTGGAATTTTTTTTCAACCCAAAGCATACTTGTGCAAGCGAATGATAGAAAAAAAATCTCACCTCGTTTCCCCAGTCGTCCGCACCCCAATCTTCCGTGATGCCGGCCGCTTCCGACGATCCCCAGTCTAAAGGTAAGAAACAATGACGTCATGTCACACAGGCGTGATGGAGGGGACAACCTTGCACCCAGGAACACCCAACTAGGGTTTTAAACAGTGGTATTCAAAAATGCAGTTTCTTCATAATATTTTCAAGAAGTAAATGATTTTACCTTTTTCATCTTTCCCCGGAGTTTGTGCATCCCAACTTTCCGAAGTTGATGGAAACTCTGCAAATTTTTCCAAACAATGTGAATAAATTTTTTAACTTTTATAGACGATGATAAACATCAAACGTGCCTTCTCATAAAACTATTTTCACCACCCTACCTGAGCTGTCTTTCGATGGTCCATTTGGCAGTTGTTCAAATCTTCGTCCACCTGATCTATTGTTTGGAAATCTGCCTCCCCTTGATCCCCTGAAAAAATGACATTGGAGAAAGGACGCTAATGAAATGATCTAGTCACTAAACGACTTGTAGAAATGCATATAGGTAATGGTACAATTTTAAAACAGTATTATTTCAAGGTGAAATTTCTTTTCAGCTTGGGGTAAATGTGTTGTGAATGTTTACACTGTACCTTGCTCCTCTACCACCTCGACCCATTCCACCACCACGCTTGTTGAAACCACCTTCACATACAATGAATATACTTAATATTAAACAAACCAGCATTATATGGCACTGTAGATATATCACTGCAATGTTTCTGGTCAACTTACCTCTGCCACCAAATCTTTTTTCACCCCGATCACCACCTCTATCTCCACTATTCCATCGATCACCTCCACGGTCCCCTCGATCACCTCTATCCATGTCACGATCACCCCTATTCACACCACCACGATCACTCCTTTCACCCCCACGATCACCCCTATCACCTCCACCCCTATCATTTTGATCCCACCTATCCTCACGACCACCTCTACCACCCCGATTACTCCTATCATTCCTGTCACGATCTCTGTAATTACTCCTTCTATCCGATTGGTCTGTTCGATCTCCGCTTTGACGACTGTCTCTATCACCCCTCCTGCCCTCCCTGCCACCTCTGCGATCCTCTTGCTGATCCCCTTGGTCCCCCTGTTGATCATCACGGTCCTCTCGGTTCCTGTTTCGTCCACCACCAGGTGGTCTGGTGTTATTCAACGGCCCATTTTGCCTGGGGGCACTGTCAGATATTCTGTCTGTCTGTCCTTTGTCTAAAAACAATTGGTCAATGGTTCAAATTGGAAACACTAGTGGCTGATATAATTTGCATTGACCTACTAATGACTTACTTCTCCTGTTGTTATATTCAACAGACTGTGAACTACCGCCACCCCTTTCCCTGTTGTCCTTTCTGTCTGGCCTTGAATTTCCTGTTTTATCCTTAGGATTGACGGGCGATATGGTATCCGCAGGTTGGCTTTTCTTCTTGCGAGGTTGAAATGTTGTCCACTCCCCCTAATGGTAAAAAACCCAAAATTATACCCCAAATTTCAGACAGAGGGAGATAAAGCAATATATTTTGGTTTGAACCATAGATCCCTGTAGCTGTCAACAGAAAAATAGTGAAAACTTTAAATACCTGGTTGTATTTTCCCTCAAGAAGATTGAGGACTGCTGAGTCTATGTTGTTGTCACAATCATGTAGAGCAATGGCAACCTCGTCTTGCGGCTTTTGTGTCATTTCCACAATCTGGAATAACATGAACAATCATTGACCACAAATACTGGTAAAGAAATGTGATTGAAAAAAAATATTTACAAACAGTGGTCATATGATTAACCACTAGTGTTTGAAATTATACATGGAAAGGCATTTATATAATACACAGGATTGGTAAAGTTGGTTCACTTAGGTTCTCTTTCAAAAGTAACTTTGAAATTTTCTTTTTAAAGAATGCTAAATCAAATTTGTTATTAAAAACCATTTAATAAGCTTTTAACACTAACTTTCGCCATAATTATAAGAAAGTATTATCAATCATTTTTAAATTATTTCAAATCAATACAGAAAGAACAGGTATATAGACTTGATGAACAACAAAAGCCACCTTACCTTTTGAATTTTAGCTGTCAACCATTCTGGATCATCATGATTCAATAACTGAGCGTACTGAACTTGCTCAGCTGTTGGCTAAAATGAATTGCAAAATATTATGATGAGGTTTGGCTTGTTAAATGCAAGTAAGGCACATGTCTTACTCACCTGATATTTGCCTTGAGGAGATTGTTTCCCTGTTTTTGTGGTGCTCTGTTGTCCCCGATTACTGCTAGATGTCCCACCTTTCATCCCCAAAACATACAGTATAATTACAAACTATATACAATGTTTCTAGAAAAAAAAGTAAAGTTTAACATTAGGATTATATCGAGTGCCTAAAAGATTGACATTGCCAAAAAAATTTGATGAACTGGTAGGCCTTTGGAAAAATGCAATGTCAGTTATTCTTGAGGAAATATTACTCGTCTATCTTGAGATTAAACAAAGAATTTAGCAACACAATTTAGATAACGTTTATGCAGTTTACAAACTGTGTATAAATTGTGTTGTTTTCATTTAATTTGTATTCTAAGGTTAGATTAAATGAACTATACAGTTCAGTCTAAGATGCCTTAAAAAAAGCTAGATATATAGATAAGATTTCAATGTTTTTTACACAACAATAATACTACAGTACTCAAAGTAGTACACACAGAAGAGGTCACATGTCAAAATGTTTAAAATTCAATTATGTCATTCCTAGAGATTTTTCAGCCTTTCCCAATTGCTATTGTTTATTCAGACAAAACAAAGCTTTGTATATCACAAACTGTTATAAGTTACAGGATTGTTCAAACACCCAAATCAATGCTGAGCTAAAAAGCAAACACAAATAAAACCCTCGCATGACATGACGATTTCTATATGCAAAAACATTTCCTGTTTTGAGTATTAAGGTCTAGATTTCGCGTCAATGAAATCTTGCAATTTTGAAACCTAATTCTCAAGGAAGCCAGAAATTTCTCAGGAATTTTTTGTACAAGTACAAGGAACTGAAGCGAAAGCGTACATCGTACAATATTTTAGGATGTTTCAGGACGAAATCTGTACGCTTTCTCAAGCATTTTGTACCGGCGACGGGTGACCGTTTCGCTCAAGTATCAAGTGAGAATTTTAATAGCAAGTTCGTATGTCCACAATAGGATAGAGTGTATTTCCGGTGAAAATCAACTTTGCAAAATAATTCTCAGCGAAAGTTCAACCTCAGGATGGCACATGACAGCGCTTTGGAAAATATTTGCGGCAATGAGCAAATTGTTTTGACAATTTAAGCACACATACCGATATCCTTTATGCTGAAGTCAAATAGATTCGTTTACTTTCATTCAGCACATGTTTGAAACATATTTTCTCAGACAGAAAGCGACAAATGGCCATCTTTACGTCGCGTAAAATTAGATTTGAACTTGCTCAGCTTTTGTGAAAAGATGTCATTTAAGCTGATACAAAACGACAGGACTAATCGCTTAATTTTGTTTCCTTTTTGGACAAAGTACAAATTAATACGTGCATATAAACGAAAATGAGTGGCAGCGTTTGCGATACTCTTGTCAACGATTTTTCAAACCGAATTCTGCCCTCGGAAAAAGGCCCAGAGACGCTTTAAAAGAGCACAACTTAAAACCTACTGCTCTATTAACCTTGCACTGGATTTATACTCAAATAGGATGCAAATCCGATACATAACAACCCATTTCTCAGGCATAAACACGCGTACATTTTCTAACATGCCGGCTTTGCGAACATCAACAAGCCGCAAAAAACGCAATCTGCCGTCGTTTGGACCGCTTTGGCGAGGTAGAGGAAAGGAGAATAGTAATACAAACTACACAGAAGTGTCCTACTTACCTACAAAACAAGAAGTGGATAGAAAATCCGTGAAAATCAACACGCTTTCGTGTTCACCATCAAAGCAAATATGTCGAAAAGAGAAAATCTATCACGTGGTTGGTTTCGCGCGAAAACATGAAGCGATGGACTGGGGAGAGGACTGGGAGACTTTAAATTTATGTAAATATGTCGCAAAATGTCGCAGACATTTTGAGATAAATCAGATAAATCACTAACACACTTTGCGTCTTGTTGTTACATATCCTCGATTACATTCCTTGGGCTTTTCCAGCCTAGGAATAGGCACTGAGACTGAGACTGAGAGAGGGAATTGACTCCGAAACAACATATGGTATTGGAGATAACAAATCTCCATAGAAATTGCCTTTTTTAAACTCACAACACCAGATTTAACATATCTAAGATTTTTTTATTTGAAATCATTCACACTAAAACCTAAATCAGTGTCTTGCATTCCAGGCCCGCGATGGGGCAGTGCTTCGGCAGTTCGGCTGTCCCCTTTTTTCCCAAGATGTGGCCCAATCTTCAATGTCCTCTCTTCCAAGCTAACGCACGCTATCTTCAAATATATGAATGGGGAAATATGAGATTATATTAGAAAGTATGGTATTCTAAATCTGTTAGTTCGCTCTCCCCCATTACTTTCTCGCTCGCACGAGTCGCACCATTCTCTTCCCGCCAGTAAAATTCTCTACCTTGACTGGACCGGGTACTCATTGCTTTTCGTGGCAATTACCTGAAACAAAATGTTACGTTCGCCTCTCCCAAACTAAAGCCAGTTTTACTAATCTTTATCGATTAGTCACCAAGAATTAGCCTAAATTAAAAACTAGAAAGTAATAAATTATTAACTCATGTTCTTGTTGTGTCTTTGTTGGTTTGCAACCGGTGGTAATAATTTTCGTACTTATTTTGGACGAAATTTTCTTTGTCCCGCCTGTTTTTGTTGTGTAATTATTATATGATCGTTGTGTGGTAAAATTTGGGCCATTTTAAAGGATTACCCACGCGCAGAAAATAAGGAAATCAGAAAGGTAAAAATCGTGAACAAATTCAGTGGTTTATTGATCTGAATGGAAGTCTGGGGAATTTGCACTTGGAATCGTTTCATGCTAAGGCGCATTTTTAAACACAGCGGTTACGATAGTCGCTTTGCCGGTATAGACACGATGTTCAATATGCCCTGAATAGTCGACAGATATCAAAGTCCGAGTTACAGACCAATTTTCATTACACAGTCACAAACCATTTGCTTTTACTGAACGAGAACGAGCCCGCCTCGCATCATTTTAAAGAGGTAAAGTGAAGCTCTACCGGCAAAGGAGCATGGCTGGAACTCCAAATTTTGTTATATTACATGAAACGATGTATATATAGTTTTCAAGTATCATATATTGATACGTCTGGTCGAAAATTATTAAAAATTAACTTACAGACCTTGTTCTTGGTTCTGATGTTAAAATCTGACCTAACCCTCTCAATAGCGCGTTCAAATGAACCGACCAGGTCACATTTTCAAACGCATGAAAGCTTCAGTTGCTACGCGATATAAACGGTAAATATAACGATTGAGAAAATATTCAAACTTTTTGGTGACTATCCGTTGCCGGTCCAGTCTGTAAAAGGGATCATCGGCTTACATCGTTTTAGTGACGAGGCATTTTTGTAAGTCAATAAATAATGCGATTGTTTGATAATGGTTGACTTCCCTTGTATGTGATGAGATAAAAATAAAGATAACGGCTTTGGTTATTACCACGAATAGTTGAAGGCATAGTTGTAGATTTGTCCTTTAAGTAATCCGATTTGCAAGCGATAAGACAGTCTTGAATTTTAAGAAAATGCTGTGTGTGAATAGATTTGGATAAAAATCTGCTATGTTTCAGTATCACCCCTAGCTTGAATTGTTTCAATTTTAATTGTCTTCCTATAGCATGACTTAGTAATTAAACACCTGTAATGTTTATGAAAGCGTTTTACAGGTGTCACTGGCGAATTTGAATGCATAGCCAGTGAAAATCACAGATTTTCTAATATGCATCATGTGCTTCTTCTTTTCTCTAGGCGATTTTTTGCTCCCAAATTCCAAGTCATTGTATTGAAAAATCGTTTTTCAAACCGAAAAGAAAAAATGAGGGTAACTTGGATGGTGGTTTGCGTTGTATTTTTTCTTAGCCAAATGTGCCCGGCAACCGCTGTACATAATATTACAGAAGCACTGGCCGCACTCGCGCCAGTCTCCATAGAAGACCCAGAAACGGAGATAGTGTCATCAAAGGACGATTCTGGAACAAATTTGTTGCTCAGAAACATTGCGAGAAAAGTGGATAATCAATACTGGCTGGTGGCCATTCTAGTGACTCTTGGCTATCGTTTGCAGTTCTGATGCACGCTAACATGAATTCCAGTGAATTTGAACAGAATTACTGATAATAAACTGTATATAGAAAGTTTAGCCTCGCCTGCCTCGGTAAAAACGAAGTTTGAATTAACGAACTTCCAGCGTACCTATTCTTAAATTAACATGACTCTAAAATGAACTTATTTGAAGTGTTTAAAGGAACGACCATCTAATTGCGGGCGCATAAAAAACTTTTCACAAAATGGCGACCGTTTTAAAGGGAAGAGTTGTTTGTAATTTTTTATTTCGAAATTTTCCGAGGGTAGTTTCCCGACCGGCTTTAGTAAATTATAGCACTGAGGTCGAGGCAGATGTAGAAAAAAAGAATAAGGAATTAAAAGTAATTTATAACGTGGAAGATGTGAGTAATTCAGTGTTGAACTCAAAGGAATCGAGATATATCCCATCATATACGACGTATATGATGACGTATAAATCTTGAAGTTTTACTCAATATCAACAATTAAGATCAGACCATATCATATGGTGTTGAATTTGGCCAACACCAAGGTTTCTATTGTGGGCTAAGGCTTAATCAACCTTCATGATACACACGTCTAAGACTCTAAGTGTTGCGTGAGGCTAAAGTTGCTCTATATTAAATGTTGACAAAACTAAATTGGTAAAGTCATTCTCTTTTGGTAATTGGAAAAATCTATTGTAATTTTAAATTACAGCCACAACTGGCTATCCTCAGTGGTGTTCCAGAGGAACAATTGAAAACAAGAAAAGTTCAGATATTCTCACCTGCACAAAATGCCATGCAGTCCGGATCATTCAATACCAGACTTTGGAGACTTGAGTTCAACACTCAAGATCGCTGGGAGAACCCACTGATGGGCTGGGCCTCAAGGTAAATGATGTGAAAACAGGTTGTAATTTCATGCCCAGTTTCTGTAAAAAATTCATTATGAAAATTTCCAACAGTGCAAGTCTATATTTTCTGCATTTCCCAGCATTTTGCAACCAGACTATGGGATTATTATTTTTGCCACCAGACTGTATATATTCATACCATTTTCACAGACTAAAAACTAGTCTGTCCATAATGCAAATTGTCCATTTAAGATCTTTAATTCTTTTTAGTGCTGATCCTTTATCAAATATGGTGGTGGAATTTGGATCAAAAGAAGAAGCCATTAATTACGTTGAGCGACAAGGTATGCAAAGAACAAAACCTGCAAAGCAAAAGACTCCGAAAGTATTCTCGCTTGCCAACGTGTAACATTGACCGCAATATGTAACTGGACAGACGCGCGTTTTGAAAATCGCTTTCCTTTTTAGGTTGGGACTACGAAGTGGAGGAAAAGAAAGAACCAAAGACGAGGGAGAAATCTTACGGTGCGAACTTTTCCTGGTCAAAGCGGACAAGAGTTTCAACGAAATAATATTAAGACGAACTTTAGATTTACCCAGCTTTGACATCAAGTTGTTTATTATATTGTAAATGTCTAGTCTTGTAACAAAGTTTTCACTGGAAAGTTTTTTTGTCTGTTATTGAAAGGATTTGACGCAAGCAGACAATTGTTCCTAGTTTGTCAACCTCAGATAAAATATTTGTGGATAAAACATCGCGGCTAGAAATCGGTCTATTTTAAGTTAATTTCTAAGCCACAAGTACTAATTACTGATTACTAGTGATTAGTATTTAGTAAGTGCTATTAATCATAACAGAGAAATTGTCCTCGGCTTTGGAAATATATTCTCCGTCATCCTGAGACAGAACGTCCGACTTGTCTGCGCTTTCTGACTTGCCATCGTTTGCTCCAACAATTGTTTTCCCGCCATCACTTGAACCGTTTTCTTTCGTGCCCTCGTTGAAATTCTGTCCGGAATTATGCGACATTGTTCAACTCAAATTTCCACAAACGTACGTAGCCTTGGCCAAACAAAACTTCCAGCGAAAAAAAGCCTCGTTTCCAAAGAAATATACTGCTTTTTGAAAACGTATGATGCAGCAAAATCAAAATTTGTGGTAAGCGCAATGCGGGTACCTGTTAGTCGTGGTTACGGATGGATTATGATGTCATAATTAACAATGACGACATTACCGCAGAAAAGAGACCAATGCCAGAAGTCTCACTCAAAAGGCACACTGTACGACATGGTTGGCTAGCTAGTGCATAAATCAATTCGTGGACAGTCGTGAAAGTCACGCGAGAATATGATGTCATGCTATACGCCGTGGATTGCAGAATGTTGCGAAACAACGTGATACAAAATAGCTATAATAAAAAGCATATTAAAAAAATATTTTACATGTTAGTTATATTAGTAAGATAAAGATTTATCGTAGAAGTGAATTCCAAATCTTTGAAAAATCTGAAAAATTTCCTCGCTAATTTGGATAACTCATATGTAGCTGAACTAACTGACCGTGGTAAGTCACAAATCAATTTGGTCAGTGACCCAATAATGTATTTATAAATCCCAGACTATAATCTAAAAATCCTTTCTCGTTTTACTACAAGCGTAGACTAAAAATGTCCGAATTTTCTCACGTAAAAAATGTACCACAGGTGCTGAAAAAAAGCATGCAACCTTGGCAAAACAAATATATGCCTATTTTCACATTGTGAATTGCTTTGAACAGGTATAATTGTTGAAGTCATTTTGGCGGGAAACTCCGACGAGCGCCATATATCCCATGCTGCCTTGCGGAACAGGAGCCCGGGTATAACTGTATAGCTTTCTTATCGACCTATGGTGTGGGCCTTGCGAAGTGGTGGCCTATCTGGCCTTCTTGGTCCCCCTAAGTAAATAAAGAAAAGATGAATCATAAAGTTCTTAAATGCGGAGTTTTCTATTTCAAAATCAGGCCACTGAATTCAATAGGCCTTAAGGTCTGTTCACACGAACCAATTTTGTCAGATCCAATTCACTTCTGATGGATGTTTTATAGTCTGTTGTCTTGCAATGCATATGGCCAGCAATTGCACTAAAACCTATGCTTACTCCTTTATCAGTAACAAACGTCATTCCAAACGTCAAAAGTGATTTGGATCCGACAAAGTTGGACGTGTGAACGGACCTTTTTTAAGATTAATACCCAAACAGAATATCTCTTGCACTGAGATATTATGAGATTGAAGAACACGTATTCAAAAGGAAATTTAAATTTTTAACATATTCGATAGTATTTTCTTTGACAGTGAAATACAAAAATGCGCAAATGTGAATAAGTGAGCGCGTTAAAATTTCATGAATTTCGCCGGTGTCGAGTTGTCCAGTTTTAATAAATATATATTTATATCAGTAGTTTTCATTAATATCAAGTAACACTACCTGCAGGGTGGTTAACATACGTCTCTTGACATCCCCTCACCGACTGCGAACGCCTCTTGGGCGGAAGTGTTGGCGCTTGTTCAATTGCTATAAAGAAACCATTTGTGTTTCAACGTGGGTAACAGTCCGTAATGTAAACACAAACAAACGCTTTGTTTACAGTCGAATCGCAAGTGTAAACAAGACTAAAAATTAATCAGTGCGATTGCTCATTCGAATTTTTAATAAATATACAACTTAGAGCTGTAGTCATTTATTCTGTCTTTTATATTAGAAACTGCAAGGAGGGGAATAGAGCTGGAAGGGGAGGGGGGTAAAGCTGCAAGGAAGGGGGAGGGGATATAGCTGCAAGGAGGGGGGAGGGGTAGTGTTGCAAGGAGGGGGTAGAGCTGCAAGTAGGGGGGAGCTGCAAGGAGGGGGGAAGCTGCAAGGAGAGGGGAACTGCAAGGAGGGGGTAGAGCTGCAAGTAGGGGGGCTGCAAGGAGGGGGTAGAGCTGCAAGGAGGGGGGAAGCTGCAAGGAGAGGGGAACTGCAAGGAGGGGGAAAGCTGCAAAGAGGGGGAGGTGCTAGGAAAGACTTAATGAAAAAACTTACTTGGTTCGTAATTTTCGTAGGCCGATGGTGAAGATGGCGATGGTGGAGGCCGTGGTGGAATCATGTTGATGTAGCAATCCGGATCGTCTGGTGACATCGGAGGCGATGACGGCGTGTCTGTGTGCAAGAAAGAATAGCTTTTGTAGTTATTGTACTTTTACATGCGATCACTCACACGTGAAACGTAGAAAAGCCTGATGTCACACGAAGTTTGATTGGCTCTTTAGTTTTGCCCAGCCAATCAAACTTCGTGTACAACCAGACCTCCGCATTTGACGTCATTATGAAAACGTCCGCAAGCTTCATTGAGTAATCTTTCAAGCGAATAGATTGCGTAAACGCAAAAACAAATGTCGAGAAAAATACCCACCCATCCGAAAATTAGAGGGTGGGTTGTATCGTTGTTTCTGGGGAGCTAAAATAAAAATAACATTGACCAGATGAACTTCATAAAAAATGTCATAATCATATATATCTAAAATATTTCTTTCAAAAATCTCAGGGTCGTCATACAAAATGAGCAATAACCAAAGAGCATTTTTTGGCTATCAGGTCTTAAAAGATTACTTACAACTCATCTGTTCGTAGGGTTCCATTTCATCTAAAGGAGAAGGTTCAGCAGAGATTTTAGCAAAACAGCATTTTTTTAAATAAACGTCAATACGCAATGGGCCGATTGTGTGTAGGAATTCAGGATAGCGATTATTTTAACCGTACTTTTAACAATGCTTAGAAAGATTTCAAAATATAACCGGCGAAATTGTCGACTGGCTTTTCTCGGAAGAGCCGCTCTTGCTGTGTTTTCTATGGCCATCTTCAGCATTTGAATGATGTTATGTGAATATTAGCCAAGAATAACAGGTCCAAAGTCTCCACCGATTACTAATTTTTTGTTTAACATCAGTCTATTCCAGCGATAAAACCGCGACATTAATCGCTGTCTATATACGAGTAATGCTCGATCGAAACAACATGTTCATAGAGGAAAGAGCAAGGTCAATTTCACAGATGCATGTTCATATTTACCTCCGGCTTTGGTGTGATTTCTCCCCCTGGTGTTCTGGTCAGAGGGTACGAGATAGGAGTCCTCATCGACGACAGGCGGGGGGGTTGGAAGTTGACGAGTTCTAAACGCAGGTCCTGAAAATGTATAACTCAGGGTTAGTTCAAAATTAACTTGGTATTCGTTCTCGTTTGATAATAGGACAAACCTGTCATCTGCAAATAATCATCGCTGGTGTTGCTTCGTGAATCGCCTACGAATATATACAATGCATGTCTTCAAATCATGAATGGTTTCACCATGAAGAGCCATTTATAATGCGCCATGATAAAGAACATGGCAGCATTTGGATGATAAATAACATTAATTGCAAATTTCATTGGTTAAGATAGCAATAATTAGACGTCTGATATGTCACATTAATTAATTAATCGAGGATTCGCTAATTTTGACGAATTTTTGTGTTGATATCAACCACATGTCGCCATCTTTCATCTTGCAGAAATATGCTTTTTTGCACAAAACTGTCACATTTCAAACAATTTAAAACATCTTAACCGCTGTAAATCCACAAAAATGCTTTAAAATCAATGTTAGAAAAGGCGGCGAGACAGATACATACCAGGGGGTCTGGGAAGATCACGACCTCTCATAGATTCAGGCGCCCTCACTACATACAGAGAAATTGAGTACAGATGTAAATTAACCCCAAATCCGCATCTTATCCGTCCAGTTGAATATAAAGCTCAGCTGAGATAATAATACATACCCATTCCAGCTGAAGGAGCGGGCGGCTGGGGCGGCTGGGGCAGCGGCACGGGTGGCAACCCGCGACTTTCGGGTTGATATAAAGAATGAGAGCGAGCTGTAGGAAAAGAATAAAGATTATCGTTAAGCGACTTTATGTGCAATTTTCTTCCTTTGAACGATGTGAATAAGTAGATAAGTAAGTCACAGATATCCACATAAAGACACTTATACATCACAGCATCATAACTGTCCACTCGTTCACATTTATCAAAAGACGAAAATTGCACTGAAAATCGCAGAAAATGCGACGGGTTATACATTCGTTTAAAATCGCGACTCCACGGGCGATTAATACCGGCGACTCTCTCTTTCTAGCGGGCGTTATTGCGCTAATTATGTATTAATACAGTTTTAGAAGCTTGGTGAAGTAAAGTAAACTACTACTCTGTTGACCGATTACTCTATAGCATACACCAGGAGGAGAAAATTGTGCATCGAGGTGTGTGCAAATTTTTTTCTCTCTACGTGCTGTGCTAAGTATGGAAGTGCGAGTGCCCCAGGAACTACATACCCTTGGTGATAATCAAGTCTTCATGAGGTAACGCTGGGGCCTCTCGCATGGACACAGAACGCGCTACAAAAATTCAGACGACACACTTGGAGCGTCATCATGAGGTGTCACATACATGCAAAAAACGATAACCCTCTGAACGCTATAAAGACTGGACGATAACTGACGGTTATCTCATGGGGTCGTCTGGTCGCCGCCATCTTTAAAGCCGATTTGAAACCAAATGGGGGGTATAGAAAAGTATAACTACACAGATCCACAAAAAGATCTGATTTTAATAAAGCGCTCTCTTTTGGGGACACCCTGTAAAAGTATCAAGTCTAGTTTACACAAACAATAAATAAGATGATGAAGCTAAAGACGGGGTTACACCATATGCAACTTTCCCTGCAACTTGCAATGCAATTCTACTCCTGAGGCATCTAAAGTTGCCAAATACTAAGATTTCTTACAATCTGCTAACGTTTTCTTAGCATTTCGAACACCCTTTACAGACTAGCATTCCTCAGAATCCATAATTACATTGCAAGTTGCAAGGAAAATTGTACGGTGTAACAGTAGCTTAAGTGAAGTTTATTATCTCACAGTTTTTTCTCGCGAAAAAAAATAAGCGAGAACACCATTTCTATGATACAAGCAGCCGCGATGGTGAAAAATAAGAACAGCGAAAGTAAGTACCTGGTCTGATTGATACGCCATTGTGCTGCCCCGGAAACGGTGGTGCTACGCCTACGAATAACAAAATAAAACGATTAAAAACCGTATTTTGGTTGAACAAAAACACTAACGGAACGAGTGCCAACCATCACATGCTTATCACGCATTTCGATTTCGACATCGTATTTTCATTTTCGAATCCACATCAAATTTGAACAAACCTATCTGATGGCTCGCTTATTTCAATACAGTAGCATTAATATGCATGATTGGCCGAGTGCCCGCATTCACGAATCGAAAACAACGTGTTTTTGAAAGCATAAAACGCTTATCATCAATCATTCTTTATTCGTATGCACAATGCCCCAGACCAGGGCGCATTTCACAGCCAAGGACGGCAAGCGTTATACGTCATATTGCAAGAACCTGATTGGTCGGGTTAGGGACGGATCACGGGAAAAACCGAAGACACGAAACAAGAGAGGAACTTTCTCTTAAAAATCTTACCAGCAAGATAGATAAGATTCACAGACTCACTTACTTTCTTTCGAAGGCGTGTTTTCGTTGAACGGCATCAATGCTATTGTCTTTTTCTGAGACGCGATGAAAAATCGCAGGAGATTGGTCAGACTATCAAAAAATTTCTCCTGTAAAGAAAATAAATGTGAGATATCTAATCTTTCAAGAAACGATGGAGGAATAAGCCGTAAATAATAGAATCTATCGTATTCCTAACCTCGTAACCCTTGATAAATATTCGACCCCCGTCTTTACTCTTCAGAATTTTGTGATGGCGTATTCCACCTTTTTGGTCTCTGGAAGGAATAAAAATATATCATCATATAGCAAGCCAGTACAACCTCAAAATCACACAAAAAAGGAGCAATTTCATTGCTTCCTTAGCGGTTATCATTAACCGCTCAGTTTTGGCGGGAAAAATCATCTTGAAATTTTTGACAAATTTTTGTATATTTTGATCGAAACTCCTGTTCCCAAAATGATTTTAAGAGTTGGAAGAAGCGAGATGATTTTTCTTTTTTTCTTACTTGAGTGAGATGACATAGCCCATGTTTTTACTTGTGGTTACATCAATGTAATCTCTGACGATGAATACCCCGTTCTCTTCACTTCGTAAAATTGCTTCCACATCTTCCCGACGGAATGTTGCCTGATACCAACTATATTGAAATTGACGATTAAAAACGAAGAACACCCGTAAGCTCATTCTGAACGTGCATGAAATGAGGTTTTGGAGAACTAAACGCGTTGCAGTGATAAATTAATAGTAAAGAGCGCCGAAGGCGAAGTGAATAACTAATCCCAAAGTCAAAGACAAAAGCGCCCAAGATGTCGTTTGTATGCTGGTAGCCTTTCTACAACTCAGACAAATTGCATAATTTCACCTCCTATTCGCAATGCTCTTCTTTACAAGACAAGAGAAATAATATCTAGAATACCGTGGTTGTATATTCCAAAGCAGAACATTTCCTAACATAATTTCGTCTAGAATTTTTACCAAACTGTATTGAATTGCGGATACAGTAAGGCTAACAGTGGACTTAGAGTTTGTTTGTTTGGAATCTTTCATATGAAGCTGTTTAAAGTTTCCTCCTTCAATTTTAACGCGTGAAATCACATACGTAGGCTAACTATAAACTAACGATAATCAACGTCACTCTGTCATGTCATCTCAGTCTTACCTTTGATCACCTTCCAAAAGTCGTTGCTGAATTTTCATCTCATCGACACTCATTGAAACGCTCTCCGCAATGCTTTCGGCGTGACTAGCGAAGTGTTGCATCTAGGAAAGATTGAAAAAAAATCTTTATGGACACAAAAGAAGATGATTTTTTTATGTACAGCTAATTTAACAAAGCTTCTTTCAAAACAATAAGCTTAAACTCTGGATGCCCAGTGGATACAGAATACCTGAGAAATTTACCTAAAAATACAAGAGATTCTTGAAAACATCAAATCTACTTGCTCCTAAGGCAATTTTTGTAAAATGTAAACAAAAACCTATGATGTAGCCCAAAATGAAATGTAAAAAGCAGAAATTTGTTACGCAAAAACCTGTTCTGGCTGTAAAGCATATCGAAGACTGTCAGTGGATACTCTTCGGTCTGACAAACTGCGTGATGTGGATGTTGGAGCTGGGGAATTTGGTGGTGACGGTTGTAAGGATGCTGAAAGTATGATGGAATCATTGTTGTTTGAAGTTCAATTGGTAATGGTTATGATGAACATTTTGGCAATGATAGTATTTGATAATGGTACGTGTTTGTAGGTAGCAATGATGGTGTCTGATGAAGGTGCTTAATGATCATTTTTGTGATGATGGTTAAATGATATTTTAAAGACAGCAATAGTAAAGATTATATACAACTTCCAGGGTTACAAAAACTTACATTGACGTAGTGGACAACATAGAGGGTTAAAAAAACTTACGTCGACGTTGTGGACTGTTAGGTGGGCTTACTGGTCCACTGCCTGGTAGGATATATCCCTGTTTAATGGGGGATCCTCCCTGAAACATGAAACAATTTTAGGCATTGGCAATTCTAACTGATCTCCAATAACAAAGAGATATTTAATATAGTAAACATACACTCATTGCTTGTCTTATAGCATTTATCCAATCTTCACGAAGTTGCTGATTTTGTGCCTACAAAAATAATTGGAGATAAATCCATATTCTATGTTCTTTTCTATCCATTTGCAGAACATTTCTACCAGTGAACTTGTTTGGTGTTACAGAGACTATTTAGAAAATTTATTTAGAAGAGTTGTTAGTGCATTTTGGAGACAAACTTGATTTTCTTACTTTCAAAATAATCTTGCGGCTCCCCTTTACCATGTGCCATTCCAACTTCTTTTGCAATTCTATTTTTGTGGTCCCTTCAATTGGAAAGAATCCTGCATACTACACGAAACAAATACAATCAATGATTATTATATTTAAAAATATATGCAAAAGGAAGGAGATCCTTATACTGTAGTAGCAAAACCAGAAAGAATTACTAACAAAATTATCACTCACACCTAATCATTAACACATAACAAACAACAAAACAGAAATAGGTGAATCTTAGTCTACATTATACCAAACTTACGTTGTCTTTGATTTGTGTGTTTACATCTTTAAAAAAATGTAAATTCTTTTTTTTGAGTTCACACCAGTAGCGTGTCCACTAAATAGATGAAATATATATGTTTTGTGAATCACTGATGTTATCATGTTAGAACTCTGATTCACCACTTTTTCATCCAGGGAATATAATTATGTGACACACATTCTACGGATAAACTGTAATTGACTTAGTAAAATCATCTTCTAGAAGACAGACGCTTCTGTTTCTAATGTAATTATGTAATATGAGAACAACAGGAGTGATACAAAATATATCTAGATGTGGGTGGATACCTACAAGCTTGCAGTACTTTTTCACAACTTAGGAATTTGGTGAAATTATCTGGCATCACATATTGTAAGGAATAATGGTTAGTGGGGAAAACCTAGTGCATTGCAAATTTAAACAACTGGTTGAGGTCTCAAGTTTGGGTCAACATAGACTGGAGTTTGGGTCTACAATCAAGACACAATAGTGATTATGGTTTGATGTATGTGTTGTCTCCGTACTTGGCAGCAACATTCATAGAACAATTCATATAGGAATAACTAATTATCAATAAACATTGAAATATTTTATTCTAATCAAAACATTCTAGATAATCCATGATTAAATTTCTTAATAACCTGCATAAAGTGAGAACTTTTACATCAACCATATCAAATGGCAAAAAGATAACATGAAGCTATAATAACATGTTTTGGTTTATGAGAAAAAACCAATAATGGTGAACTGTTGTTTCAACAAATACAGAAATAACGTGCCATTCCTCACAAGGAAGTGTCAGATTTTTGTAGAAATGAAACCTTAGATGTTTATAATCAGCAGTGATGATCTCCAAAGAATTTAAATCAAAGCAGAGGCAATTTTTTGTATGTGAAAAGTAGAGCATGTATTCATTTTGTTAAGATTTTAATTTAGGTTTTTTGGTGCTTATGTTCTTGAACACCAATGACAATATTTTCAAGTAATATATATACCCGTGCAATTTCTCAATAAACCATCAAACTATTCATTGTCCGGCAAATTATCCTTAATACGAGTTTGTAAACGCATCGCTTAAAGCAGAAATTGAGAAATATTGAACAATCACTTCTACTTGAAGATTTCTCAATCTTCAAGGATGAAATCATTTAGCACGCTACGTCGATGTAGTTGAAACAGCGTGAAGCGGCGTTCCGTTCAATATCGTTGACAATAGCTATATATTTGTCTATTGTTTCACTTTCCAACGATGTCTTGACCTGTGCACATTGGTTTTTTTTTATATCTATTATAAAAAGTATTCTATCTTAAAGTCTTCAAAGCAAAATGTCGATTATAGGATATAGGCAAATTATTCCCTTCCTTTCCTCGAGTATAAAAATAAAACAGACAAGTGTACTTCCGCAGGATTAACAAACGCTCTTTATAGAGACAGTGTAGAATAAACTTTCATGCTTGGACATATATCTCAAGATTTCTAATACAAGTAATATTGGGGTCTTATTCCTTCGATGTTATGTAATATACAAACACAAACATTCTAAACTCGTAAGAAGCTTCGAATTTGTAGCAATATTCGGGATGAAAAGCTGCTTATCAGTCGCTTACGATTGCATCTCAATATCGTATAAAGAATGTGGACTATTTTCAAACATACCTTGCTAAATTTTCCTTTTAATTCAAGGTACCCATCGTAATATTTATCGACGTTTTCAGACGTCGGGTTATTGTTATAGAGTTGTTCGTAGGATCCTATCGAAGTGTCCATCGGGAAAATACACCATTCAAATAAAACGTACTACATACAAAAGCAATTAGGTCATACTCGATTGACCACTTGCTCGTATTTTTGCATAAGGAAGTACTTTCCTCTCCCGCAGTCCAACCTGAAGAGACGAAATCTCCGCAAAACGTAAACTATCAAAGTATTTACGACGATGGTTTACTGTTCAATAAAGCGTTCTCAGCTACAAATACAGTGATTCGAAGAACTTATAAAAAACTAATGCGCGCAAAATCTGGATTCCATCACAGTTAATCGTTAAAGTGGTAACCACAAAACAATAACATTTTTAACCGCTAAATCTTTCCCCTTTTGTTTTGGCCGGAAAAAATTGTCGGGACGTTATCTATGCTAATTAGCCTACCTCATGTCATGATAAGCACAATTGTGCAACGAATCCCTGCAATTTATGACGCATGGGGCTTGGGCATTAGGCTTCTATAAATTCTGCCTAGAAAACGGTGAAATGTTGGTAAATTCTCAAAGTTGCCAAACGCCGTTTTGAGAGTGTATAAGGAACCACGCTTTAACATAGATCACCCTGTAAAGACACCAGACCGAGGAGTGTCAAAACCATTCATCTCAGCAACTCAGTGGTCAAAACGTTGGGTCATGAATGTAATCTTCGGGTGGTGACTACTTTCATTCTTTAAACCAGGGTAGCGATAAGAACAGACTGAACAGTGGGTTATTTCTAATTCTTTCAACACTATATTCTTTGCATACTTAGCCGTCAAAAGCTAATCACAGTTGTAAAACAATGCTAGAAATATACCAAAACAATGTAAATATATTTTCGGGTTTCTCTGTGAATCCATTGATAACTATCTATTATATTAACAACACACATACAATAAAACAAAATACTGAGCAATTCCTTGCTTATAGGAACATGCTTATTATTACTACTCGACTTTCTGTTTTCATTTATGGAGTTCTGTGGAACAAAAATTAGAAATTTTAGAAAATAAATAGCTTTCAGCCGTTAAAATTCACGGGATTTCGTCCAGGAAATGATTGGAATAATTCAGTTAGTTTCCATTCAGCACTTTTGGCATATTTGAAAACTTTAAATTAAATATATGTTTGTTTATTGTATTCTACACGACAAATCTGTCTCCAATTAGCCAAGTCATCGCCAGGGGGGTCAGGCGGACTTCAGTTACCAAAATAGTACCTAACCGGGGGAGCTGGAAGATCGTCATCTTCGTCTGACCTGCCATCCTCAGTAAATGACACGATTAGGTCGACATATTTCGACTCTGGTGCCGGGTTGACTAACTTCACCATTCTAAAGACAATGAGATTGAAAGTTTAACGAAGCGATTTAAACCTATTTCAAGGATCATTCACACTGTCAGAGTTCCTGAGATCACAGTATTATAAATCCCAAGTTATAAAGAACATTTATAACAGACATCAGGGTGAAATATCCGGGAATCCCTGTGTTCAATCACGGATTCAGCGACATGACTACGACTGGAATATCAATAGAAGTTTTGTCTTGTTTTTGTGTAAAATATGAAATCAAATTCCGTTGAAAAAACGGTCGAGGTGCCCACTGGTGCACTTTTGGAATACTGCTTATAGTTTGTTATGACCTGAACATTTTAGCAGAACGAAGCTTACATCAACAGCGTAAATGCGCCTTACCAGTTCATCTTACCTAAACTTTTCCATTCGAGAAATTATGTACATTTGCTTTGCTTGCAGATTTAGATTATTGGGTATAATTGGGATTGAATCGATGTGCATTTGATGAAAATCTTTTGCTTACGTTTGTTTAAGACGTTTCATGTGTCCAGGAAGAATTGGCATGTACAGGACTTTTACTCCAACTGAGACTAAGGTTGTTTCAAAATTGTATTTTTCCTATAAAGACGAATGCGTTTAATGATTACAGGCAAGCTGCTGAAGGGTAACGCAAAAGCCTGTGGTCAATATAACAAGATTACAATAGGTACAAATGTGGCGCGTGTACGGCAAAATGCTATTTTTGTATGGATGGGTTTAACTGAGCACCATTGTGCAACGAATGGCAGAGGTGAAAAAAAACTAACGATGATTCTGAATCATCATTTGTTCTCATCTATCGCTGGGGTGAGCTGGTACTTCTCTCCTCCCATCCACCACCCACCTAATATGCACCCCTGACCCCTGCTTACAAGGATATCTTTGAAGACGTACTTTGAAATGCTTGATGAAATCTTTAAGGGTAAACGTTTTCTTCCCAAGAACTTCCCATCTGTCCCAAAGGGTGAACGACAGACCTTCTCTGATGACAGTACGCGTTGCTGGAGCAGGTTGTGAAAACACGAAGACTGGCAGAGCAAGATTGAGAAAGCAATTTCGATAATCGTCAAAAGAACTTCCTTTGATTACTTTGATTAACTCGATGGTCACCTAAGCAAATATATCAAAGGTTGATGCGACTTGATAACCATCATGGAGTCGGTTCTTGGGCATGAGAACCATTCAACCTAACCATTCCCAGAGTGAACTTTGTCTCGATTACTGGTAGTGGTTAGTCCATATCTGTAGTTTCGTTGTTACAACGTGAAACCCATTTCAAATATATTTGCTTACCAGGCCAGACACAGCGGCAGTTGTCGTTGCAATGGCAGGAACAATTCGTCCTGCGATTTTCTTGGTTTTGAAACGATCAGCGTTTTCGATATTGTACATTGTTGCGCGAAGATTCTATACGGAAACATAGGAAGCCCAAAATAAGCATGCGCTATGAATGTTTATCATTGATAACACACGCTTATTTTTGGGCAGCCAATGCAGAGAGTTAAAAATTTCTACATCATATATTAAGCCATGCATGCACACACGGCCGAAGCCGTTATTGACGATTTCAAGTCGATTTTGTCTGTTTCATCTATTTGCGTTTTATACAGCATAATGAATTCCAGAGCTATGACATTCCTGATTATGTATAGAGTTCATGCGGCAGCTGTACGAAGGCTGGATAGTGCTATCTACTGGATAGTTCTTGTTTTTGCCCCAAATTTGCTTCAAAATGAACAACGCGGTTCAAAATAAAGATAGTATGGATAATATAATATAAGGACCTCGTTGAAATGCCATTGGAAATATAACATACCGAACATGCAGCAATGTAGTCTATATGACCGTTGCTGTCGTCATCCTTTTCAAATTCCAACGGTGATAATGCCATCATTGCTGTGAAAGAAAGCATATGATAAGTAATGCTTCACAAACTGAGGAAAGAGAAACTACACTGAGGAAAGATATCCACATTCAAAACACCGAATTTGTAACACGGGAGAACTTAGTAGCATCCTTCTTAATCCCTGCATGGTGGATGAACTTACTGAAATCCGTACACCTGAAATTTGAACAAAGCCGCTACCTCAGAAGTGGTAGATCTTACACCGGAACTGTCCAAACTGGATGGGGAGAGTATGCATTCGGATTGGTTAGGCTGACATTTACCTACCTTTGTCAAAACATTGCGACTTAAGGAAATTAGTCAAGAATTTGCAGGCTTCTAATAGGACGTCTTCGTCTTCAACTTTCTCCGTTGATTTTTCTTGGTTTTCCTCAACTTCAACCGTCTACAAAGAAAGAAACATTTCAAGAAGAATAGCAAAGAATGGCTGCCCGACAGTACGACACTGAAATACCTTGTTTGATGGTACGAATTCTGGCACTTTGACATCGCGAAGAATCTGGATTAAAGCTTCCTTCGTTAAATCCTACAAGAAAAAAGCCGAATAGAGTCAATTCCCTAAGACAAAAGTGTTTTCTATGGCTAAACAGGGTGATTAGCTTGGGCTACACTAAGTACAATTAAGAGGACTCGTGCCGGGGGGGTGTAACACGCCCTGAAACCCGAGGCGGCCCCACAAAAGGTCCCAAGACATCATATTTGCCAAAAATGTAAATGCAAATGCGAGAATCTTATGGGACTATTATTACGGTGTAATAAGGGATCTCTAAGTCTTTCCCCAGGTCCCTGGCAACCTCACGGCTGCCTGCATCCCGAGATTTATTCAGTCACAAACCTCAGGAGTGAAGTGAATATTGTGAACGTTCGCGTGAAGTCTTGACGCACTTTCCAGGAATGAGTAGTGTCTTAAAAGATAATAATCATCGTATGAAAACACATTAACTCTCAATAGCTCCAGGGTTTATTGAAAACTTGAGCTCTACTTACAATTCATTGTGAACGTCAAACTCTATTGCAGTCGGTGGACGCTTTGGAGACTGCCAAAATAGCGCTATGAAGGAATATAAACAAGTTGAAGCCCATGAAAATTGATAACATATATTTCGATAAGAGTACGGCCTCTTAAAACACAACGATAAATTCGATGACACTTACTTCCATCGCTCAAACGTGTGTCACGCGGAAACAAGTGAAGTAATTGTTTAGCCTGAAAATTAGAATACATTTTCAGATATCAAATGGTATTCAATTCCCAAAATGCATCCGCGTACACGACTGTCGTGTTTGGAGCTGAAGGTGACAGTGTCAACGCACTGTCCTCTAACTCGTGGGAAGCCTGAGGTGGGAGGAGTGATGGGCGGGGAGGGGGAGTGATGGGCGGGGGAGTGATTGGCGGGCGGAGGGGTGATGGGCGGGGCGGGGGAGTGATGGGCGGGGAGGGGAGTGATGGGCGGGGAATGATGGGCGGGGATGGGAGTGATAGGCGGGGAAGTGATGGGCGGGGAAGTGATGGGCGGGGAGGGAGAGTGAGAGGCGGGGTATTCTCCAAGATAATCTGTTTAAATCACCGAATGTGGTGAAAATGGCCTTAAATTCCCCCTAATTTTCCCACCGGCCTTAAATTTTATATCCAACTCTAAAATTATTCTAACAACGTGAAAACTTCAAAATCCAGCTAAGAAATACGAACAATCACTTGTCTCGACGCACAAGTGGCTTGGGATGGAATTCACTGGCAAGAACACTAAAGTTTTTTTCAAACGTTTTCACTCGACCGAACATTACTAATATAAGTTCTATTTTTACCTTATGATTGTAATACTTTTCAAACTGTAATCTCGCTCGTGCTACACAGTCACGCCAGTTTTTAGGCCAAGACTTCAAAGATTTTACGACAACAATAATCCCGTCCGGTTTTTGGCCGTTTTCGAGTGACTAAAGAGAAAAAAAAACACAGGTAAACAGTAAGTATCGCACGCAGCCAGTTGAACGAAAGCTGCATGGATAGCGCCGTTGTAAATAAATATTAAAGCCCAACATAGTGCTTTCAGTAAAGCCATAAGAGACAATTAGACCATTTGAGAATAAAAAGAATATATTTGGTAGTAACGTTTCGTCTTAACTTAAGACATCTTCAGACTAAATGATAAATTACAAGATAATTTGAATATATGTAGACTAGTAATATATTTACAAGGTATCAATTTACAAAAGGTGATAACAAGGACAACGTAAGGACACAATGACAATACGAAGTAAGGGCTAAAATAAATTGAAAGAGATAGAATTGCCTTGAACATTAAGAGAAGGCTTAAGTTTGGTGATGAGGAGACTCTCATGTATCATTGGCTCATAAGAGTCAGATGAGGAAGAGAGGATTCTAAATTCGTCAAAGCTAGCCGGGTGTCCGCAAGCCTTTAGGTGCGAATGTATACTGGACATAACAGGGCTTGAGGTCTGTTTACCAGTGATGGGTGATATTCCCAAGTGCTCTGATAGTTACACACCAGAATATCCTCTCTTCCTCATCTGACTCTTATGAGCTAATGATACATGAGAGTCTGCTCATCACCAAACTTAAGCCTTCTCTTAATGTTCAAGGCAACTCTATCCCTCTCAATTTATTTTAGTCCTTACTTCGTATTGTCATCGTGTCGTTACGTTCTGTCCCCTTGTCCTCTCATGTACCGATTGTCCTTACGTTGTCCTTGTTATCACCTTTTGTAAATTGATACCTTGTAAATATATTACTAGTCTACAGATATTCAAATTATCTTGTAATTTATCATTTAGTCTGAAGATGTCTTAAGTTAAGACGAAACGTTACTACCAAATATATTCTTTTTTTCAAATGGTCTAATTGTCTCTTATGGCTTTACTGAAAGCACTATGTTGGGCTTTAATATTTATACTTCGAATACGCTTCCCGCCCGGCACGTCTCTGGCAACAGTATTGAATAATCGTTGTAAATAAGCTTGGAAAGCAAAATAATGCAGACTTGGAACTAACAAATATTAAAGAAGACCCCCCATTTAAGATTACAAAAGTTTTATCAAAGTTATACCGAACAACTGGCAATTTTAGAGCGATCAAAAAAACCATCCTAGGTTTTATCCTGCATGGGTTTGAATTTGATTTGAGGCATAAAATTTCGTCTAATGGTAGTAGTTAAATGATCTTTCTTTTTACATGATGGGGAGCCAAAATTAAGGTAATGAAAAGGATTTCCTTGCAGAGCTAATGATAAGTAGAAGTTTTATATAAAATAAGCTGAGGTGTGAACTCATGGAAATACTCTTTCTTTCTGTGTATGAATCGTATACACAACTTTGAAACAATAAATCAAGTGCTAATGGAGAGTCAGCTGCATGACAATTATTAACATGTCAAAAGCGTCCGTTGATGAAACGTTATAAAACTAAAATTCTATATGCTACGATATTCTCCGTCATGTGAATTATCCTCTCTAGTTTTTCGCGTGGAAGTTGTTTGTCAGGGGTTAAGCTACCGACATTCAATTTCCATCTGGACTGGCGCGAAAAAACTACGTGGCGTTATTTACAATAGGGCGATTAGCACGAGGAAGTGAACGTCAAAGAAGACGTGAAAATGGCGAGTAAATGGCGTGGCATGTCCATATTTGGGCGCATCACGCCATTTGTTCCGTGCGCTCATACGTGCATACGAAAAGCGCGGAACGGAAGGAAATGATATAGCTATATATATCATGCCTAAAAATAATCATTTGCGATATTTTCGGCTAAATCGATGAAATTATATTAATCAAATGAAAGAACAATTCATGAAACATTTTTTAATACATGCAACCACTTAAGACTTATCCTTGGAAATGTATGTCATTTTTATAAATACAAATATATATACCTATAAGGTCCGTTGCAGTCGTCGAACTTTCGTGTGCCGAACCTAATGTTAATGAGCTAAAGTCTTTGTTTATAAGTTCATTTGCATTCGATTCAGCGCATGAAAAGTTCAGGTCTAAAAGAATACCGTGTAACTTGATTTCGACGCGAACCTATGCTGCTTACACAAACTTTTGTTAAATTTGCAATGAAAACCTTACAAATTAAATTTGAATTATTTCTGCAAAGGGATCGATGATATCATTTATAGCGTAAGATGGCTTGTGTATTAAAATAGACGTGATGCATCTGCGCGATTGAGATAATATTCATGAAGATCACTTGAACTATGTCTGCATGACATTAATTACAAGAGCTTGAACTTAAATGTAATTCATCGATCTTTGTAAATAACGTTATACGAAGAAATATATCTGTATAAAATAAATGTATATAACGCGTGTTTCGATTCGTCGAAGCCCATGTTTGGATCAGGCCATCCAAACACGGAAATTTAATTCGTTTTTTATTTTAAAAGACTACGTTGTTTTTCTTATAGAATAATTATACTTAATGGTTTCGTGTTTGGATGTGCCTGATCCAAACACTTGCGTCTTGGGTTAAGAAAAGCTCGTAAAATCACTCGTCTGCGGTTCGTGTTTCGCGCGCAACATTCGTGAAGGATATTCGTAATTTTTCAATAGTTATAAAAGATATATCATTTCAATCGATTAAAAAAACGTGTACAGTATAGAGTCGCATCACGTATACGGCTGAAATGTGTTTCGTGCATTGCTCTGATTGGTAGAACACATCTGGTTTATATAGATCGTCGTTTACGCTACGCTGAAATATCAGCTAGCGTAGGCTGTCGTTAAAATTCGATTTGTCGTACGTCAACGCACAACGGTATAAAAGAATCGCATGTTATCGTTGATTTCAAATGCCATAGGGTTTGGCAACCGAGACAGAACTTCAAGTTCTTCAAGATATACACGATGGAGAAGCCAACTGCATTTAAATATCCCTATGCCTCGATAGTTGCATTTGGAATTCTCGGCAATATTTTGGTTATCATCTCCATATTCAGACAACGAAGACTGCTGAAGAACGACTACTACTTTCTTGTTCTACACCTCGCCATCTGTGATCTGGGATGGCTGGTTGTAATGTTCTCAATCTACGTGCAACACGAGCTGTATAATTTCGAAAAAACGATTTCCAAAACCTTTTGCTCGTTCAACAGAATAAGGTATCTATTTCATGTCGCAGGAATATACATGATGTTGATGATTGCAGTTCTTCGTTATCGCGCTACTGTTCATCCCTTGAAACCAGGGATCAGCAGAAGAAAATTGAAAATTGTTTGTTATTTGGGCTACATTCTTGGCCTGATCGCAGGCTATGGAGCACTAGTGCCAATATGTTTTGTCCAGCGGGACTCCCTGGCTTATAAGAACTATTCGAAGGTCGATGATGGATTCACAATAATAGTCTTTTATTATCCTCCCACAGTAGTAATGGCTGTACTTTATTATAAAGTATATCAGGCACTTGGAAACCAAAACAAATATCTGAAGAGCTTAGGTTCAAATCCAGTGGCCCAAAGTACTTCTGGCTCGTCCTTCACAATCGTGAACTATATTAAAAATCATCGAACTTTTCTTGTTTGTGTCGGTACCGTTCTTTGCTATGCAGTTGGAAATCTTCCCATGTCTGTAGTTCTTATTTTGCACATCGTCGACAGAGATGATCTTTTGGTGAATCATGTTTGGTTTTGGTATTTAGCTGAAGTTTTAAGAGCTGCTGGATCGTGTTCAGCCAATCCTCTCGTTTATGGAATATTGGACAAGAAATTGGTCAAATTTTGGCGACGCTGCTCGAGGAGAAGAGGACAGGACAATTCGGAAGTTGTTGATGTGCTTTCTAGATGAATAAATCATCACCGTAAATCCGTAATCTATACACGTCAGCTTATTCAATTACGATAATCCTTCTCAAGCTGGTGAAATTAAAGCGAACTACGGGTGCCATAACCTCTGACTCTCTGAGCCCTCCAGTGCCCGGGTATTTTGAGATTGCACGTGAGAGATTATCTTCGTATCCACAATTTTTCCAAAATGAACACGTCATATTATACATATATACGCCATCACACATGGCTTGACTGATGGCTGCAGCGTTGTTCTCTCGTCATTTTTGCCGTTTTATTTAAGAAATAGAAAACATAGTTTCCTAAACCGGATCATTTCGTCATACTCCTCGCTCGCAGCATGTTTGGTGTATGGAAAATAAAGTAATCCCATAAATAAAGTAATGCATATAATATATACTAGTATAAAAAAAATGGAAATGGAAAAAAATGAAAAAAATACGATACGCGATCAATTGCGAATCAAATTTTGTATTTTTTTATATATACACATAAGAGTTGTTTATTAATTTTGAAATAGTGAAACGTTTTTAGAACGTGCACCTAAAATACGACTGCAATGATGACAGTAAATATAGTAAAATGCTATATTTTAAGCTGCAATACGGACTTTACAAATTCCTTCGAAGTCGTTTATGATAGCACGATGATGTGAAATACGTTTTGCAATAAATGTAATCCACCACCAGCTAAAATTTGATGAAACTTTTAAAATAAAAAGAACTTTTATTGCGAGTATACCTAAAATTTAATTTCTCTGTAGTTTTTTGCATTTTAATCTTTTCATAAAACTTTCAAAAACCATCGTAAACTGTACTCAAAAGCTGAGTGACTACTGTCTAGCGTCTATAAGCAAGCACTTGAGGCTTTTATAAACTTTATTTTCAAAATACATTGAGCTACCTTATGTTAGGAAATTGGGGAATTACGGTGAACTTGTAAAAATCTCGCATTTATTATAGCTACTACTTTCTATTCTTCAAACGGTGACATTACCTGGACTAAAAAACTTTGTCTATAGTGCTACGTCACGCATGGTCGTTACGTGTTCACTTCTGATTGGTGGAATACATCTGGTACATAGCCTCGTTTACATTGCTCTAAGATGTTTCAAGTAAATTGTTTTAATTGTTGGCAA